TGACAGTATTCAAACAAGTCGTCCTTGACCAAGAAAAGGCCAGATTGCACCTACTATGCACTGGCCTATGGCAAGGAAATTGCAGAGCTCTGTCTTTATCAGAAGTGAAGCTGCGGCGGCTACCAAGTGCAAATGTGAGAGGCAGAACAGAATAGCTATTACATATTCGTTAGCGTGCAGAGGCAGGGACATGATAAAAATCATGTCCACTAAAAATAGGGGACTTTCTGCTTCTATTTCCCCTGCGGCCTCAGGGTGAATTTCATGCTGTCTAAAAGAGAGTATTATAGTAGAACAATATGAAACAGTAACTTTAGGAAAGGACAAACTGATGAGTGCATGTATACCTGGCAATAGCTTACCAATGAACCATCCACCTCCCTATTGCTAGTGCACCCAGTTTATTGCTAGTGCAATCCTAAAGTTTGGCCTTCTTTCCAATTGTCCATGCAGAACAAATGATGAGGGGGTAGAAGAGGTAAATAGAGACATCTGTTCATGTCCATTTCTAACCAACACAATCTCCTACTCAGTCATGGGGGAGAGTGTGGATTCTGACAGTGAGTCAGAGCCAAAGGGATGTGGTGTGAGAGATGGCTTTGGTTTGGTCTATGCGGGGAGGCAACTGTGACTCAAACACTGCATACTGAGGAGCTGGAGCAATTTCTCCATTTCCCTCCTAATTAAAGGGGGGGTTTGCTCCCCACCCAGTCTGCAGTGGGCTGTGTGTCATACACTGGCTCCGGTAAGTAAAATGCTCTACAAGGAGGTGAAAAGTGGGATCTCCCTCAGAAAGAGCAAAGCTACATAGTGCTTAAACTTAATTTTCTTCCCACACATTGCCTCTTTTCCAACTTTGTTCAGTTTTGGAAGATACAGAGCCCTGATTCAGAAACTGAAAATAAAATTACCAACCTCAATCATGTGATGTGATAAAATATGCAGTATCATGGTGAAGCTTCTATGTGAGAGAGAGTACTGATGGCAAAAGTTTGTGCTACATGTACCAGTCAATAAGTGAGAACTCCAAGCAAGAATACAATGTGCACATAACTAATTTGCATTTCTAGGGTAATAGTTCATCGGATAACACAACTTTCATTTGGTTGGGGTGGCAGTAGATAGATTTGCTACAAATCTACTCTTGTAAACACCTTACAGCAGGAGAATATAATCAATGTACTTTTTACAAAGAGTTCATACTACACAGTAGTGCCTCTTAGGAATTCGTCTAGCATCTCTCAAAGCTCTCTTTTAGCTATGGTCCACTAGGCTCTAATTAAAATATTTCCTAGAATGATTCTAAAAATCACTTATTATTTTGGTCTTATTGGTGGGAGATGATTTACAAGTACATCTGAACAAACTGGCAGGAATCATTTGTTCCTACTTCTAAGCTGACAACAATGTTATTAAAATGTATTACAAAACTATAGTTTACTTTACATATATTTACATACCAGGATGATAGTAGACTGGTATGCTTTCATTTTAAAATTAGCTAGATAGCCTGGTGTATGCAGGAAAAGACACTCAGCACACAAAATATTCCTCTTTGTGTGGTGTAGACAGATATTTTCCTTAATATTTATCTGCCCTGTTATAGATGGCTTTGCTAGAAAAGCTCTCACCAGTGAATCTCCACCATGACACTACTCAGCAGACAGAAGGAAAATGAAGAAAAGTATGGTATTATTCCCAAACTAACATTCAAACAGCAAAGTATCTACACAACACATTCCTTATTCTGCTCTGCTGAAATCAAAGTGAGTGGCTTGAAACGCACTTTTTCTCTTGAAGCACTATGAAGGATAGAGCCCTTTCAGTTCTGTGTGGAAAATACAGTATTAGCTATTTATGCAACAGAAGCAGTCTGAACACCGTGAACAATGAAATATTTTATGCTGAATCAGTCGTAACTTCTCTGAAAGTTTCTTCCTGCTTTCTGCTGGTCATTATGTGGAGAGATTCCAACTCTTTCATTCCATCCTGTCACTGCATCCTTGCCAACAGCAATCATTGTTTCAATAGCTACCCTAAGTCCCTCCTAGTATTCAGCCTGTTCAGTGATAACAGCCTGTGCCTCTGGCAGGCTGCAGCAAGCAAGGAGAGTTCAGCTGTTTGGGCAGCATTTGCTGGATGCTGACAACCAACCCATAGGTGGGTAAGTTGATACCACAGTTGGATCTAATTAATAAGACACCTGTGTAATCAAATCCTGTGTCATATGATTAATTACCTTATGCTTTCTGTACCAAGAATGTCCATTAATTGCAAAAATGATATTAGAGCAGCTTTCAATCTTTGGAAGGCAGATAGGCTTTCTAGAAGGATTTCTGAAAGCCTTTGAGCAGGCTAGACATATATCACGAGGCCTTCACTCCACAGAAGAATTTATGCCCAGTGCAATGAAATACAACATTCATAGTTAAGGAAGTAAAGAGTGATGGAAAATAGTGGCATTTTGCCACAGCAGGGCAATTATCACATACAATGCATTTCAGCTGGACATGGTTTATATCAGTTTGTTACAGCCTGTCTTTAATGCTTCCAGAGCTATACTTTCTGAATAGATACTGTAAAAGGTAGGCAGTACTTTTTCTCCTGGCTTTCTGGGTTCTTAGTTACATATTTAGCATATGGAAAGATTTCAAATTTCTATTCAATATCGAATATGTATATTAAAACATGAACTTCCCCCTCCTTGCATATGTATGTATGTGCATGTGTGTTTTTCTTGCACCACACTGCAGCTAGATCCTTTGTAACTTAAAGCTAAACCTAATAAAATCATTCACTGCAGCAGCAAGATACTTTCCCCTAGAGTAGGATACAATGATGATGAGATAATGCTGTGGTTTCCAAATCCCAAACCAGCTGTTACTGCTATATGCATTCAAAGTCACTGTCTCTGCATCTGTGTGAGAGGCACAAAAGCTTGTGACTTGATTGAGTAAATGATTTATTATTTTGAATGTATAATTCAGGGACATAGCTTATGCATGGCTTCAGCCACAGAGTGGGGAAAAGTAATTTAGGCAGCTTCCTACTGTAACAGAACAGGGAAAGGATATAATCCATCTGCACAGACCCGGTATGCAAAAAAGCTGCCCATTTTAAAATTGTTTCTTCTCTCTGCCAGTCATTCATACTAATTCCTTTATCTGCTATAAATAAACACAGCTGGGCATCAATCCCTTAACCTAAACTGCACCAGAAACACAGTACCTATTCAAGCATTGCTGGGTATAATATGATGTAACTTCTAGTTGAATAAGGCTGGCAGTGAAACTGCTGCCATGCTTAGGGATACTGCAAGAAGCTAAGATTCTCCAGTGCTTGCTGTTCTTGAATCTTTGACAGTATTAGCCCAATAAATGGACAGTTTGAAAGCAATTTCTTAACAGCAAGTCTAAAAAAAGAATACCACAGAAGCAACTTGAGACCTATGAGAAAGCTTTTTCCACTCCAGTAAGTTGCTTTGATGGAGTACAAAATCTATCTCTTCATAAATCACTCATTTGCAAGGCAGAGTCTGGGTACATCAGCTGATAGTCCTACTTTAAATCCAGACTGAATCAGACCTCTGAACCTAATCCCTGCCTTCTGTACTATGTCATCATGGCAATTTGTTTCCAGGGATACAGTATTTATTTACTTAAAGTAAAGCCAATGTGAACAACTGCCCTGAATTTTAGCAAGAAAAAATGCATCTCTAGTGTAATTCCATTATCTGAGTGGTCTTGCATCAGGGATGAATTTAGCCTATGAAGTTTTGGCACAAGACTATCCGTGAGGGCAATATATGCTCAAGCTGTATTATCTTCATTTGTAGAATGCCACTGAAACCACTGAGCTTGTAACCAACCATTTCTTTATGTTTATCTTTCTTTAAATGTATAGTTAACCAGAGAAGTAAAGAGCCGAACTGTAGCAGAAGTAGTAAAAACATTGTAAAATTCAAGGACTTCTCCCAGAAAATAAAGGGATAATCTTGGTTAGAGCTATAATGAATTCTTTAGAGAAGAGGTGCAATCATGAACTGAATGTGAATTATGATACACTGGATTTTTGCAGCCAAGTAACTGATAATCCATACAGTCAGTTACAGTTGCGTGGGTACACCATGTATCTGCAATGGCCCATATCAAACAAGCCAACAGAAATCATGAAAGATCACTGCCAGTCCCATCTCTGTAATGGGTTGATCTATTAAGCTGAGAAATTGCCCTGATGTAAACAAAACCTTTTCAGGCTAACCCAGACCAGGAATGCTTAAGAGAAATAAAAGGTTTGTGCAGAGCTTATGCAGATGAGCCCTCCTGTAACTTTGCTTGTTTATCTAGAAAGGCTACCAACAGTTAACAGAAAAGTTTGTAAAAACCAGGAGAGGTGTGTGAAAAAGCAGAACAAAACAGAACACCACCAGGCTGTTCCAACATCCCTCTTCAGGGAATTTCACAAAGTCTGCATAGCCACAGACTCTAAAACAGATCCAGGAGAAAGTCCTTCAAAAACTACTCCTGTGCCAAGATGTAATGCTTTCCATGGGCAGGAGGAGTTTTATTTGGTAGAAGACTATAGCGTTAGGTCCCATCTACTGTAGCTGCTTACAAGTGACAGATGAAAGATACTGAAGTGCTGGATTCTTTTTAGAAAATGCAGGTACCTGATCCACATCAATATAACTGAGCAAAACACTAATCTTCCTGTGACATTAAAGCCATTTAAATCAAGTGTGCTTCACAGGGGTGAAAGTGGAATAATCTTCTGAATACATGTCTGATAAATAACCTTTCCTTCATTTGATGGAAATATTAAAGCAGTTTGGAATTCAACATTGCTATAATGAATGATGAATCATTTCCCAGTACAGCTTTAACATTTTGAATGAACAAGTCTAAAACAGGATTCATAAAAGCAAAAAAGATAATTACCCCTATTAGTAAAGTAAGAACATAGCATTAATAACACTGTTGCATAAAGTTATGTGCTCTCACCCAGATAGGAAACCCCTTCTTCTGGTGTTATTGTTCCATATTTAACCATCATCTTCACAAAATCAATCAGGGTTTTCATAATAGTTATCAAGGTCTCTTTCTCTTTTGCCTCTGTATCTGCATGAGGAGATAAAGCAAAACTAGTCAGACTTCAGGTAACTTGGAAAACTCAATTCTGCAGATTCGGCACAAACTTAATGCATAAAAAATTACCTACTCACTAAAGTAAAATGCTGTGCTGATTAGCAAAGAGAGCTCCTATATATATTTCCTTTTAAACTGCTCCTGCAAAGTACAGCTGGATATACTTTAAAACTTCAGGGCTTGGTTCTTCATAGCTTTTTGTCTTGAAGGTCTATGTTATGGAAGGCAAGGTATGAATTCCATTTTACAGATAAGAAAACTAAACACACTGAGATGAAGTGTCTTGACCGAGTTCAAATTGCTTCAACGAGGGCACATATAGACTCTGTATGAGGAAGATAGCTCAGAGATCCTTTCTCCTATAAGATCCATGAGTTCAATTACAAAAATATAAAGTATCTCAAAATGAGATTGTTAGCATGCACAATATCATGCCTTAGGTACTGGGAAAACATAATATTGCATGGTTGGAAGGATCCTGACTCCAGAATGGGATACAAAGAATGATTTTTCATTATAAAAATCAGTCTTTCTTGCCCATACATATCTCTATCTTCCCAATCATTGCTTATTAGATTTTTTTTCCATTGTGTTTATCTGCTGAACAATATGACTCTCTTTCCCCATTATCAGCATGAAACTCACCCATCACACAGTTTACACAAGCTCTTCCTGCACCCCAGGTTGTTGCTGAAGGACTCAGCAGAGCCAGGGAACACTGTCAGGCAGGGACAGTCAGAAACACGCTCCCAGCCTTGCTGAGGGTCAGCCCCTTTAGAGAGCTGCTCAGCAGGCTTTTTATTGCTGCCTGCAATTTAGCAAATATTTGTAGGATGCAACTGAATTGAATCCCTTGCCCTCCAGCATGACACAAGCCGGCAGGTGAACAGCATAAAACAGGAGACAGGCAGATGTGCAGCCAGTGGGACCTGGTTTGATTTGCTTGATAACCTGTTATACCCAACATGCCTTTCTGCTTTGTGAGTAGAAAAAGAGAAAGAGCAAGCATACAGAACTGCTATGGGAAAATGCAAAGAACAGGAAGAAGAGTATGAAGTCTGTAGATTCGACTTGAGCAAAACATGCCCTCAGGTTTTAGCTCTCCACTCAGGTGTTTATGAGGACAGTTTGAAGCAAGATTAAGGCTCCTGCAGGACAAGGAATCTACAGAATAAATTGTTGCTGACTGTGCTGGAAAGAGAAGAAGATATGCTGGCTGCAGAGGGTGAGAGTGGGTGTGTGGCAGAGCATGCTGACAAAGGGACTGTGGCAAGGTGCCACAATCTTGCCTGAAATAACTGGAAGGCAATGATGTCTAGCACCGGAATAGGAAGAGACATGCAGGGCTTTCATTGCAATAAACAACAAATCTGTGGTCTGTGAAAAGTCTGGGTGGCTCAGACTCATTTACTGGTACCACCACTGGGAGAATTCTGCTGTGGCTTACTCGTATCTCTGCTGGCTTAGAAGACACGGATGTTACTGGAAAGATCTCTGGAGAAAACAATTTGCCAGTTTTTCCATCAAGCTGTTACGGGAATGAAAAGAATTCAGGAGTCCTGAATCTTACAGCACAAGACGGGAAGGGCTACCTAGGTCACACAGTTTGCAGTTTTGAGTGCTGTTCCTCCCAGTGTTTTGCCATACTCACTAATCATTAATTTCTGCTGTGCATCTTAGAGAATGCTTTTAAAGCACATGGTCTTTTGGCAACTAGAGCAGCTGCGGGGAAGGGAAAGCATGAGAACAAAATAGAGAAAATGCAAATTTTCTTACTTTTTTCCTAATTATTCCTGTAAACACACAATAACCTCACCTGAGTTGAGGCTTTTTAATAGTGCGTAAAAGTTTGGAAAATATTGGAGGTCTTCAAAATTATCTTCAGAGGGCAGCTCATTTCTTCTTTCCAAGATATTAGATGATGACCATGTGTTATCCAGTGTATCATCAATTTCTCCATTAACGAAACTATCCTGATCAGCTTTGCTTGGTATCTCCATAAAAGACATAAAAAAATAGTATCTATAAGCACATTGCTTTTGGTGCTGGAGTTAATAGAGCAATAAATAGTATCAGTATCTGATGCCAACATTTTCCTAATTATGAAGTGAAGACTATACTGTTTTCTCAAAGTTATTTCAATTTGGCATTTGACTTAAACCTCAAAGTAACTCACAATTCATTTTTCTCTCTAATGGAATTTCCTTAAGAACACCTTTGCTTCCAGACTGAACTAACTTTTCCCTAAAGCAAAGCAGTGTATTGGTCTGCTTGTACGTTTGGCAGATGAATCAAAATAATTAGCTAAGAAGTTACCATTCTTTCCTGTTGCTTCTCTTTTGTATCACTCTCTGCTCTGCTTGGAGGGTAATCAAAATCTTCAGACTCCTTTTCACGGTCCTTCGCTTCATTTGCAATTAGCTGCTGTAAAACCTCTGCTACTTCATCTTCCAGGGTATAGGCCTGACTCTCTGTAATCTGTTAAAACATTTGTGCAGAGTACTTATAGAATACTGTGGTTATCCTAGATTAATTGTCGATATGAAACTTGAGCTTTGTAAATAGGTTGCTTCAAGTACATTTGCTTCAAAGCTAAGCCCAGACAAGTTAGGTTAATACGTTTACTGATGGATATGTTTATACATATAGACATATATACATGTCTATATTCTTACAAAGATATATATACACACATACAAACAAACATGAAATAGGTGGGTATACTTAAAAAACACCCACCCACCCATACAGCCTCCAGTAGGAAAGCAAAGCAAGGTAGAGCTTGACACACTTGTTGAGTCCAGCTCAAAAGATGGAGCTGCAAGTGCAGTATACATGTGTATATACTTGTGTGTGGGTATAAAAACATATGTCCTGCAACATATCAGTGGGATTCAGCATGCAAAAGCTACTTGAAAAATCTATTGCAGGAAAGATAAGGTTTGTATTTGAAACTATAAGGAACCCATATTGCAGTGACTAAGACCATTGAGACATCTAGAGGTGGGAGACAAACTCAGTCTTGCTAGAAATCAGTAACAATGAGATATGTACCCCCGGCTAACCAGCACCATTATACGCTTGCTGATGACAATAATTAGTAGGTGGATAGGAATAGGCTCAGGCCTTTCCCCATAAGCATCCAAAAGAAATTAAAGATACAAAAGATCTCTATGAGAATGAGAAGAGAAATTACAGGAAAAACGAGAGCAGACATGGGAGGAGTACAGTCGGTGAATGTTTTCTCAATATCAGAAACGTTCTGCAGCTTGGCCTATTTTTTTGCAAAGCTATCACAAGAACAACAATATTATTCACAGTATCACAGTATCACAGTATGCTAGAGATTGGAAGGGACCTCAAAAGGTCATCTAGTCCAATCCCCCTGCCGGAGCAGGAACACCTAGATAATGTTACACAGGAATGTGTCCAGGCGGGTTTTGAATGTCTCCAGGGAAGGAGACTCCACAACCTCCCTGGGCAGCCTGTTCCAGTGTTCCGTCACCCTCACTGAGAAGAAGTTTCTTCTCAAGTTTAAGTGGAACCTCTTGTGTTCCAGTTTGTACCCATTACCCCTTGTCCTATCATTGTTTGCCACTGAGTAGAGCCTGACTCCATCCTCGTGACACTCCCCCTTTATATATTTATATACACTAATAAGGTCACCCCTCAGTCTCCTCTTCTCTAAACTCCAATATGCCCAAATAACTCAAGAAGCTTGCCTAGAGCCTAAATCCCATTCATTTTCACTCGAGTCAGCAGGACAGAGTGCTCATCCAATTGCTTTTTAAAAGTGCATTAAACCAACCCACAAACCAGCTAAATGAAGAGTTAAGAAGATACTTACTAGCCCCAGATTTAGAAGTTTTGAAACAATCTTGTCAAACACTCCTCTATCGTTTTCCTCATAAATTCTTGCAGCAATTTTTTGTACAATGTCTTCAGCAGTCAAAGGAGTGCCATCTAATTGATGGAGACCATCTGGATCATCTGAAAGGATTACAGTTTAACTGTGTGCTGAGTGTCCTAACTCATTTGGATTAGACATCTTGTAAAAGAAATATCTGCCCACATCTTTCCCTCTTCAGAGCAAACCAGCACTTTTTAGACACATTAGGAATACTTTGATACACACTTTAGAACCCATTACATCACTCCCAGTAAAATGTTCTTTGTGTCCATTTTCCACACCTGAAAAATGCCTTTCTGACTTGTTCTTTTGAAAGAGCAAAGATGAATGTCAGGAGCATACTCTCCTACTTATAGAAAAAGAACGTAAGAATGAGAGAATACTGCTCACATATCTGTTTATATGCATCTTCCTAGTACCAGCTTCCATTGTATGGCCACTTAGGCAAAAACTGATCATGACAAAACAGCATACTATCTCCTTATTTGGATTTCAGCAAATGAAGTTTTAATTATGTAATCATTACTTATAGCAAATAATATCATCATGACTAATGGGAAAGTGAATATGATGAGGAAACCTTGGTCTGTGATCAGCATAGTTTGATATAATTAAAAGATCCTGAGCTAAATGCTGCTCACAGCTCTCAGAGGACTCACTTAAACTACAAGTCAATTAACTACTCCTGTAGTAAAGGCAAGTGTTCTTTGGCCTTTGGTAACTTTTAGTTTTGTGATGAAGAGAATTATCTAGCATTGCACAGAACACTTGGAACAAATATATGTGATTTAGCTCTATATAAAAGTGGATCTTCCTTTCAAACCAGAATAAATAGATTTAATTTAAAAGCATGTCCAATTTTCCTTCCATCAAATCTAAATTGCTGAAAAACATAATGCAAATTACACAGTTGGATTTTCCTCCACAGAAGAAGACTCTGAAAATCAACAGCAATTCTTTTGTCTTCTGTTTCAAAACCTAATTCTAACATGACAAGGTTCCACTACTGGAAGTAATCAAAACTGCATTCCAGTAACAAAGGTGAGTGAAAAATTCATGGATGCAATCAGACTGTAAGAGAAGTCTAACCTAAAGTTCACCAAAAGATAATTACAGAATACCTTGGAATTTATAATCCCGCCCACTTTTAGTGGAGTCATAGTCATCCACAAGCCTGCGGTTCTTGGTGGAGTCCGCATCATCCATGGCCAGTTGCTGTTCATACAAAGAGCTTCTAATTGACTCCCTCTCCTTTTCATCCCTCTCTCTTTCTGCTACTGATTTTAGCAGATTCAGGTCATCGACAAAGGAATAATTCCTGAACTCTGGCTTATTTTCTGGAAAATATATCAATGCATACATGACATAAAATCTTACATCTCTTTGAATCCATTACGAATATTGCTATAAAACCATGAAAGATGTTTTACCTGTGGGAGCTATCTTCCTATTCTTGTCTGCCTCAGCTTCAGCAATCTGATATACAAAGATAAAACAAGTAAAACAACAAACAGGCAGAAGGAATAAACACTAAAATATGTGATCTCTTAATTTATCAATATCAGCAGAAGCCTTAATGCCTAATCTTCACTCTTAGTAAGAAGTTTGCCTTAACAAGTAGAACATGATTTAGCGCTTCGCACTTTTTGTCAGTTCCATCACACGCTTTGTTCAGAATCGGACATTATGAGAAGCTGCAATGGGCTTTCCATTTAAAGATAAATGCCAGTTACATTTTCCCATTTCAGTCAAAGCTCCGGCTATATTCCTGTAGGAAGTCAATACAAAAGGGCAATACACCTGTGAGCTGCTGGAGCTGACAACCTGCTTTTGGAATGCTGGACAGTAAAACTCTATGTGCCGGTTCTCTTGTATTCAAGGCCATCAATATTTACTTTACTGACAAATCTATTAACTCATTTGTTAAGCTATTAGGCTATTCATGGATCTGGTACCTGAAGGCTCAAAACATTATGGAAAACCCGAACCAAAAAAACATTGTAAATAACTTTTGTTTCACTTACCTGTTCCTCCAAAGGTCTTTCTACACTTAATTGTCTGTTGTGTATAGCTTTATCTAGAATAAAAAACCACACACATATATACACTCATTTATATGATGCATGCAACTACAAAAGGACAGCATGTTTTTTCTTCTAGTTTTCTCTTATAAAACACAGTCTTAAATCTGATGCCAACTGCTACTTCATGTAAAAAAAAAAAATAAAAACTAGTGTTCCTAGAAGAATGAGAATACAATAAAAAAGTCAATTATTTAAACAAAGCATGATTGTTTGGGGCAGAAGGAGAGGTTCTGCAAAAGACATAGTACAAATACAGATATAGACTTAGTAACCCCTTTCTGATCAGAAAACTAGTAAAAAGAAAAGGGGGGGGGGGGGGAATGCTGTAAGAGATTGACTAAAATAGCAATAATCGGATTGGCACAACCAAGAGATTAAAAATCTCTTACATTCAGAATACCAGGGGAGACTGGGAATGAGGGAGAGACTTGTGCAGAAACTGCTGTGGAATGGCTGAAAACATCTCTTGGAAAAGACTGAAACAATTCAGAGCTTTTCCCTCTACCACCACCTATGTCTTCACTTTCATATTAGATTGCAACTTCAGTGATCCAGTGTCTTGCACCAGGAATATTGTTTCTTTAGGATCTAATTGCTTTTAGTCAAGTGGAAGGAAAGTTTTTACTTTATCTGTACCCTGAGAAACTTTCCCCATTCATAGAAAATGGAGAAAATGTGTTAAGGAAGGCGCTTACCTTTGCCCCCTGGCTTCGGGAAGCAGTGCGCCCGGCTTGCCAGCAGCGACAGCACCTGCACCACGACGGCCAGCTTGAGGAACATCTTGCTGCCTCCCAGCCCCCTCGGAGGGCGAGCCTGGACCGGAGCTAGGGCCGCTGCCCGCGAGGTTCCTGCCCGCACCGCCCCGGAGGGCGCTCAGCGCAGCGCAGCGCAGCGCAGCCGCTGCCCGGCGGGCGCTGTCCAGCGGTGAGGTGCTGAAGCCGCAGAGCGCAGCCGAGCAGAGCCGGCCACCGCGCTCTGCCCGCGTCCCCGCGACCGCAGAAATGGTCGAGACCGTCCCCGCGCCGGCCCCGGGCAGGGGGGAGGAGACGGGGGAGGGCGGAGCATGCGCGCCCCGCTTGCGCCCGGAACCTCCGCGGTGTGCCCCGCCGCCCGCGGGAGCGGGGCCGCCAGGGGTGGTGGTGCGGTGCGGTGCGGAGCGGTGCCGCGCGGAGCTGGAGGCCGCAGCCGCTCTGGCAGCAGCTCTGCGGGGAAGCTGTGGCCGGCGCGGGGAGGCCGTGCGAAACGCCTCCCGAACTGGGGAAGTGCAATGCGGCCTTGCAGAGCGGGCCGGGGATCACGTACATCTAGCCCAGACCTTCCCGCGGCAAAGGCACAGCCATCAGCGATGCTTTTCCTACAGAGAGAGCATCTCGCTCTTCAAAATTTAGAATTAAAGGCAAGCGGTAGCAGAGATGGCCACAAGCATGTCAGCTAATTCTGAACAGGTTCATAAATTAAAATTTAGCCCTTGCAGACACAGAGCATCAACAGATCCCTAGAGATGAGCAGACATTTTCAGCGTTTTGTGGCAGAACAAAGGATTGCAGCAGGAGCTCTTTTCAGCACGATGGGATCGGTTTCCAAAATGGGAGATGACAGTGGGTTTTCTTCAAGAAAGACCTCATAATTTTGCAGTGATAGATGCATATGTGCAGGGGTCAGCTGAAAACACGTCAACATCAGAAGTCTCAATACTTGCTAACTGCTTTAAAAAGTGGCTAAAACCTTTATTTGGGGAGATGAAGAGCATCAGTGCTTTTGCAACTGAGAGCCAGGAATACGGGAACTGCTCAATCCCTTACGAGTGTATTACAATACAAGCTGGGAAGAACACAAAAAAGTAGAGCAATAATTAATTGGACTAAAGGCACTAAAATTGCAATTTCTGTTTTCCCTTTTATTAATACTCAAGACTTTGTATCTAGTTTAGATTAAATAGTGACAAAACCTGATGCTCTAGTTTACATCAGGCTCACTGCTGGAAATTAGTATGCTTGTGATCCACAGATCCAAAGCAATAACTTTCAGATGTGCACCAATAACTCCATAATCCTTACCTATTACTGGGCTCCTACCCTTGGGTCTGCACCAGAGTTAGGATTTAAAGGATATTTTGGTTTTGGTTGGCTGTATGTTAGAACAAAATAAGCTTATTTACACATTGCCTGGTAACCTACAAGAAAATTATTAGACTAAACTAAACTTCCCTCACTTCAGAAGCACAGAAGACAAGAGCTTCCACAAGAACATGTAGACTCTTCCCCTGCCAGCTTCAGCTCATATATATACATGTATTTATACACATACCCATCAACAGGAATCTCAAAACTGCAGAATATTACTGATACAGAAAAACAGAAAGATCAATTCTTACTTCAATATTCTTAATATTCTATCCCAATTTTGTATTAATTCAACAGTTCACTGCGCGTCTAATGTTCTCAATGTTCAAAAAATACATACTTGCTCTCATTTACCCTTCCTGATATTCTATGCCACCTGCACATTTCCTGCAATGTGTTTTAAACATGCATCCATTTATAGGACTCTATATATTTCATCATTCAGATAAAAGCCAGCACACAATACAAAAGCAGTGAATGTAATTTAAACATTCTGAAAAGAAGGTAATTGTAGGTCAGAAGGTAATAGAAGGTCAGAAAAAGAACTCTAGTGGGTGACTACAGTGCAAAGAAGTTGCTGGATAAAAATACACCTCTTTATGTGATATGTTTGCCTATGGCTTTCTGTGTTTAATGGTGTGTCTAATTGTGTTCAAATGTGTTTGTTTTCCATGATACGCTTCTGTTTATGTGATAAATGGAAATTGTGGATGCCCCATTTCTGGCAGTGTTCAAAGACAGGTTGGATGTGGCTTGGAGAAACCTGGTCTAGTGGAAAATGTCCCTGCCCATGGCAGAAGGGTTGGAGCCAGATGATCTTTAAGGTCCCTTCTGACCCAAACCAGTCTGTGATTCTATGAAACCTTTTTTATACTATTTCCCAGTTCTATACAGTTTGTTATTTCCTTGTGCTAAATCGCTTTCTGCTTTGCCAAGCCTCTCTAACAAGAAATGATGCAGAAAGACTGTAGGGTCTGGGGCTGATGGTGGAGAGAGAAAAGAACACAAAACCTGCCATCATCAAAAGAGAGTATGCCTGCAATAGCCACCTTAGCTCTTGAAATCACAAGCTAAAAGAAACCATGCCAGGAAAGCCAAGCCTGAACCTTCAAACACAAACCATTTCCCCATTTGTGATGGCTTCATGTCAAGGCAACACGCTCACGGATGCTGACTGCAGCTGGCAGCCCAGAGCACACCTGCAGTGCCACACTCCTGGCTAGCACACTGGTAAGCTGTATGACACAGGACAGATAATGCATCATCTCTGCTAATTACAACAAAATATGTTTAATCATCATAGGAAAATGCCTGGGTAAAAGCACTGCCGTCGTTTCTCACTATATCTTTGTTTTCATTTGGCATCATTTATATCATCTACTACTACACGTTCCTCTTCCCAGCCCAGAGACAATACGGTGAAGAACATAAGCTCTTCTATTTTGGATTCTGTTTTGGCTCATGCATAATCAACCCATTTTCTATTCTGGAACTGTTTATTTCCAGAGATGATTCATGAGCCAGAAAGAATACCACTTGCATGTTGGATGCCAAGGAGAACTTACAGGAATGGCAATTAGAATGGTTTTTTATTGTGGTGAGTGAAGTTGATATGGAGCCTGGAAAATAACTGAAACACAGCCTTTCAGTGACATTTTTTCTGTTGTTTTATAACGACACTTCAAGGTTTTTCATCTAGCTGATGAAAACAGAAGGCAGATGAAAGCAGAATAAAGCCAAAAAACCCAACAGTCCACCTTGCCAAGTTTATGCCTAGATGGCAGACGTGCCTTGCTTCTGTGGATTTGCTTTCTCTACTGTATCTCATATTATGCTAAAAGACATACTACATATTCTAGCGCTTAAATGGAAAAAAAAATGTTGGAGGAGTTACTGGTGATCTTGTATTCTGCAAGGCATCTGAAATACAGATAATCATCTGACAGTAAGTTGTGTATTGCGCCCATGTGTGCAGTATGATTAGTCCTCCTGGTTTCAATGCAATCATCAACAGTATGAGAAATTAATCACACACAAGCTTGAGGGTTTGTACAAATCATTTTACATGCAGCATTTATTTGTACACCACCTGAGGCAAAGAGAAAGACTTGAGCCCCTGGAATTAATAAAAGAAAAAAGTCATATTATTAAGATTTGAGCACTTATTGAAGTTCTTCAGCTTAAACAGCAGCTTTTCCTCTGCTTACTGAATTTACAATTTTGGTCTGCAAAGCTCACAGACTTTCTAGCTTCTACAACATAATATGATGTATTGATATATATATGATATGTATATATATCATTAATACATCAGTACATAATATGATAGATATCATCTTTACAGGAGCAGTTCTTAACTGAGATACTCTTAATCAATTAATTTCATAAAATGAACTTTAAAAAATACCAGTCCAAATCTTTCAACTTAACTTCAAAGAAATGCCAACTTTTAATACTTTTTTGAACTACTGACCTCAGTTGGTCCCTATTTGTTCGTTTTTTTTTTTCCTGATAATAAATCACTTCATAGCTTCAAGCTTCAGCATGATTGTCTGACCAGATACATGCTGGAGATGGAGGGATACTTTTTTCCTTGCAAACACATAGCTCGGAAGGGATTACTTCAGTTTCTTCCCCACCTTTTCCAGAAAAAAAATATCCCCTTTGAACTGACGTTCAAACCAGAAAATGTCAAGTAATTTTGTTTCAGAGAAATATGTGTAACTGGAAAAGCCATACGTGGGCTAAAAGGAATTAAGCATCTAATCCTAGAGAGAGTACTATTTTAGTCTGCTGTCTTTGGTGAGATGATTGACTCTTTAAGTAGCACTATGCTTTTACCTTGTTCACGGGGAAAACCGGGAGAAAATTCTGTTAAAAAATACAGTAAAGTATCTATCTTGTTGCAATCGGCTGCAGATTTCAATCCACCAATTTGGGAAGGCACAGCCTAACAGATCAGGTAAACCTGACGGGGCTGGATGCACGTGTTCCCTCAGAGCGTGGATCTGCTCCTATCTCGACGCGACCCGTGACCGCGGGCACCAACCCCTGGAGGCCGGGCAGGGGTTGCAGTCTCCCCGCTCCGGGCTGACCCGCTCTAGACGCTGCGGCTCAGCTCCACCTTCCGGCTCAGCGGTGACCGGGCCGTGCTATCTGACAGCAGGGCCCGCTGCCCGCTCTGGGAGGCCGGGGATTGGGCGATTGCTCCGCCACAGCCACAGCCACAGCCACAGCCACAGCCACAGCCACAGCCACAGCCACAGCCACAGCCACAGCCACAGCCACAGCCACAGCCACAGCCACAGCCACAGCCACAGCCACAGCCACAGCCATTCCCGAGGCTCCTGCCCGCCCGTCACAGCGCGGCGCCACCGCCCGGCGCTATCAAGCCTCGGGCCTACAGCGGGTGGGCGGCTTTAGGTCTTCCGGCCCTTCCCTCCCCGTCCCGCCCCAGCCCGCCCCAGCGCGCTGTGCAGCGCCCTCTGCCGCCGGGCGGTCCCGGAAGTGCGTGAGCGGCTGGCGGGGACCGCGGTCCGGTCCCTTCCGGGCGGCGGTGGGCAGCGGCGGGGCCAGTTATGAGCGACGTGGTGGAGCGGACGCTGAGCGTGCTGCCCGGGCTGCTGGGGCAGCACGACCCGGGCGCCGGGCCGGGAGGAGGCGGCCCCGGCAGGGCATCGGCCACCTCCCGGCTCGGGAGCCTCATCCGGAGTATCACGGCGCTCACCTCCAAGCATGTACGGGCTGCGGGCCGCTCCCCCGAGCGGGCCCTCTGCTCCTCCCGCCGCGCCGAAGCGGGCGTGGGCCGGGCCCCCCTCCTCTCCCTTCCACCCGTCGGTCGTTCCTGCGGTGCCGGCGCGGTGCTATGGGCCCTGTGCGCGGTGCCGGTCTCCCCTCAGCCGCGGGGCTGGGTCCCGCTTGGGGTTCATCCTCCGGAGCCCGGCGATAAACCCCCACTGCGGTGCGCGTTCGTGGGCTGTCGAGTTATGTGTTACCTGCTCGGTGCGGCGTGGGCAAGCACGGTACTGCCGAGGAGTACTGGTGCCCACGGTGCTTGCAGCAAGCAGCTCGGTGTTACTGCTGAGACGTACGCTGCTTTTGAGAGGACCGCGGAATATTGTGAAATGAACACGTCTTTGACATTTATCTCATAGTTTGAGTCCAAAACTTATGAAAGGCTAAAATAAGTTGATTTTTTTTCTCTAGGAAGAAGAAAAGTTAATCCAGCAGGAGCTAACCAATTTGAAAGCAGCAGTTTCCGCCCCCACCACAACACTTGTAAGTGTGGTTAGTGGTTACAGGCTGTCAGAACAGCAGACCAAAAGTGGTGAAAAGCAGTGTTCTCACTCTTTTTGCCAGGTGGAGTGTGCAGGTTACCTGCATTATTAGGAGGCATAATTTATCAGCATTAAAAGTTACCAGTGTCTATGGTTTTGCAGAGAACACTGATTCTGTGTGATGTGAATATGATGCAACAGTGTGGTGTGCAGAGCCTGTCATCCTGTAGTGTCTGAAATAATGTGGACAAAAAAGCTAGGTGATGAACTGCTTCCATCAGATAATGTTCTTTGTAGCTGACATTGGTTTTATCATTGATTTGTGTTGTATAAGCAGCTGTGCGTTGTTGTATGCACTGTTGCTCATGTCTGAATTGCAGGAGTTGATATGCTCTGGTTTGAGTTAGTTGATGCATATCTCAGTCCCATGAGTGAGAGTTTTTAAACTCTCTTACATAGGGAAAACCCATCCTAGGTAAGTGTAGTTATTGGTAAAAAACAATCTGCATTAACAGTGTGATTGTCTAACACTTCAGTTAACTCATAGGCATTAACTCATAGTTTATTTTAGGCGTAATTAATCTTCTTTATCACATGTATGCTCATCAAAACAAGATAACATCTCTAAGTTGACTATAGTCAGAAATTAATATTGATTCACAGAAGAGTTTCATAGCAGAGGAGAAGTTACAAGTACCCTGATTTTAGCAAATAATGTGAAATGCATGTGTGTTTCTGCCAGATGAAGTCCTCTACTTTGTTACAGCAGTGAAGAAGAGAATAAGACATGGCGGACTCAAAAATCTTAATAATTTATTTTTGGTATTACAGAGACTAATGAAAGAATGTATGGTGAGACTCATCTATTGTGAAATGCTGGGGTACGAGTCTTCCTTTGGATACATCCATGCAATCAAGCTTGCCCAGCAAGGAAATCTCTTGGAGAAAAGAGTTGGTATGTGCATGGATCTATAGCATTCATAATATTCTCAAACTGTATTTCTGAAGTGTTTCAGAATTTATAATTCATGTAAAAATACAACTTAAAATGTTCCTCTGCTCTCTTGGCCTTGTTTCATAGTCTCTCAGTACTGTTTGAAAATGACTAACTCCCTGGTTTGTGAGGTGCTTGGTATCTGCTTGTAGAGCAGCAGGCAGGGGGAATCACTGACATCATCAGTTGTTCTGCCATTGTTTTGAATTGTGGTAGCACTAAAATAATTGGAGATTTTGCTAAAAAACACATCAAGCTGAAAAAGAGTTTCTGTCAGGATCTGGTTTCTTTTCAAGTACGTAGTACAAGTCTAGACAAGGATGCTGATACAAGAGATTTGTCAGGCAAATGTTTTTGGTTTTGGTGCTTGTAGGATTTATTTTTTTTAATTTAGAAAGAGTTGTAGGAAGTGAGGCAAATAAAGCAATCCTATTTGCAGAATTTCCTGAGGAAATCTGAAAGGCTGGTTCAGCTGTCTTTGAACTTCCATGCTGTTTGGATTTCCTTGCCTGCCAGTGTGGCAGATTTAGTTTGAAGTAGCTGTCATCCTGTCTCCTCTGGAGAATCTCCTTGCAGTTGCTGATTCAACTGCCTAGTGAAGACATTTCTTCTTGTTTGCAGAGAAAATGGTTTAACTCCAAGCAATGTCTGCATACACGGAAAGCAATGTCTTGCGGGATATGCTTGTTTGATATCCTTTGTTTGAATTTCATCTGGATCATCTACTCATGTATTGGAGTTTCTGAGAGAATACGTTGCAAGTGATGATTTAAAGTTGCTTTAACCCTGAGTAACGAAAGCCAGCGCACAGACGCTGTGGTAGGGATGAAGAAATTCTGTCTTCACCAAACCTGGGAGGGCAGGTGGTAAGCTGATTTGAAGAAAACTCTGTGACCTCTCTAAGTGTCAAGAACCAATGTGTCTTGCTAGTAGTCGGGTTGAGACCTTTCTGTATTAGGGCTCTTTTTGAGAAGGGTTTGGTGAAGCAGCATTGGTTTATGTATTTTTTTTTTTTTTTTAATGTAGATGGCTTAACGTTCTCTGGATACAAAGCCCCTTAAGCTTTGACCTGGTAAAAGGATGTTATCAAGTGTGTGGGCTTTTTTATTGTGTGGGCTTTCTGACGTCATTTTGTGCAGTTTTATGTGGTAAATGAGGATGACCTTGTCAGTTCTCAGTGCATCTTACCAGTTTTTATTAAGGGATTGTTGTCAGTTGATCTAGTCAAGATGGGTTTACCCCATATTTTTACCCATTGTGAGCCTCAGTGAATGAGAGTGAGCTATGTTTTTGTTGTGTACTAAGCTGATCGAGTTTCACATGCAGATAGACCACTCTGGTAGCCCAGACAATAGTTATTTGTATCTAAGTTGTTCATTTTGATCCCTGAGCCTTGAATGAACCGGGGTGGGTCTTTCTTAAGATCTGTCTGTGTAACACAGATATTGTCATGAATTGGCATCCTCCCCACACTGCTCCCACTCCCCCCCCCCCCCCCCCCCCCCCCATTTTAAGTCTCTTTGTTAAAAAGAAAAAGGGATCTTGAAGAGAAAGGTTTATTGTCTGGGCTTCTGGAATTGTTTTCTCCTTATTAAGAAATAACAAGGCAGTTTTTGGCATGGGATGGTGAATTTACTCTGCTGTATTCCAAGCTGAATACATTGTTGAAATTTATTTGAAATTGAAAGTTGAAATTTATTTGAAATTGAACTTTATTTTTTTTTGAAAAAAGAGAAACAGACCTAACAAGTGTGTTTGTATTGTGGAGTCTAGAAGTAATACTTTTCTCTGTGCAGAGACAGTACTAGTTTTCCAGGAAGTGGTTTCTCATGGTGCTTTTAGCTGCTCCTTAGTTGTAAGAGTATTATGTCTCTTACTTCTCACAGCTTATGTATCCTTAGCTGTTGAGCTCTCCTGCAACTTGCATATAACTGGTTTGTCTCAAAATAAAAGAAAGTCTTAACATGTAAGACATGAATAACTGTCATCCAACTGTGGGGTTTTTTGTTGGGTTTTTGTAATTGTTTGAATTAACACTTATATTACAGGCAGTCTTAAGTTTTCTATCTTGAAGCTGCTTAATTGCCTGAAAGTAGTAATTGAGGCTGCTTTCTTTTATAGGTTACTTGGCAGTTTCTTTATTTCTACATGAAAATCATGAACTACTACTTCTACTTGTGAACACAGTTGTGAAGGTACAGTGGTTTTGGAGGTCTGGAGGTAAAATAATGACTGAGAATCCTAAAGGCACAGGTGCAGGCCCATCCCCAGGTGATGCTGGAGTGGGTCCAGAGACCAGGTGAAGGATTTTGAGCACAAGTCTTACGAGAAGTGACTGAGGGAGCTGGGTGGGGTTGTTCAGCCTGGAGAAAAGGAGGCAGAGGGAACCTTGTCTCTCTACTGCTACCTGAAAGGACATTGCAGCAAGGTGGGTGTTGGTCTCTTCTCCCAAGTAAGAAGTGATAGGACAAGTGGAAATGGCATCAAGTCATTCCAGGGGAGGTTTAGATTGGATATCAGGAAAAACTTCTTCATGGAAAGGTTTGTCAGGCATTGGAACAGGCTGTCCAGGGAAGTGGAGGAGTCGCCATCCCTGGAAGGATTTAAAAGATGTGTAGGTGTTGCACACAGGGACATGGTTTAGTGGTGGACTTGACAGTGCTGGGTTAACAGTTGGACTCAATAATCTTAAAGGTCTTTTCCAATCTAAATGATTCTGTAAACTAAACTTGGACCAATTCTTCCCTTTTTGTCACACATCTAAACTGTGTACTCATCAATTCTATCTTGGTCTCTTAAAGTTGTTGCTTCTTTGGTTAGCAATGAAAATTTTAAATCTCTTTCCTTGGATTTTTAATTTAATCTTGGCATTCCTTCTGTTGAAGGCATTTTTTAAATGTTTTTAAAGGAGATACACCCTAAAATTTCCTTTATAAAGTGTACCAATTACATACATTCTCAGCTCCAGGAGGAGCCATGCATGCATATTTCAATATAAACTTCTGCTTTTAGCTGACAGAAATTGTCTGTTTGCTTCTTTGAGTTCTTCTGATAGGAAATGGAAATATGCTTTGGAGTGACACTGAAAATCTGCCACCTAATAATGTTTCAGAGGTGTCATTTTCTTTAATACTGTCTTATTTCACTGATTGTAACAGGACTTACAGAGCACTAATCTAGTAGAGGTCTGCATGGCATTAACCGTTGTCAGCCAGATCTTTCCACGGGAGATGATTCCAGCTGTTCTTCCCCTAATAGAAGACAAGCTCCAGCATTCAAAGTACGTACTCATGTACAGAAATTCAAGTGTCTTGTACAGTTGAATGACTTCATTCTGTAGGTGGTTTCAGTAAACTGATGTTTTTTCTGAGTTGTTTTTTCTAATCATTACCTTCAGAAATTTTTCCTCTTGTAGTTTCTTGTCTCATTTATTTGCAGTCTTGACTGAGTATTGGACAGGTACTTTAGTTTTTTCATAACCAGTTTTAATAGGTAAATGTAATTGAATTTATCTGCTGGAAATATGTGGATGAACAGCGTTTATAGAGCGAGTGGAGAAACAGATTGAGATCCTTGAAGTACTTCACTGATACATTTTTTAATAAAGCTCTTTATAGAAACTTTGATAAAAGTATCTGCAGATACCAGTACCTTTGAGTTGATTGATTTTTAATTCACAGTATCACATAGGATAACATTGTAAATGTGGTGTTGATTACAAAGGGAACTGCAAAATGAGCTGACTCAGTAACTCCCAGACAGGTGTTTTATTTGGAGCTGCGTATTTGGCTGCAGCAGGTTAGCAGTGGCCAATTTCATTGTTCATTTGTTGGCCATTCTTTTGATTTGTCAATGTGTATTAAGCCCTGTTATTCTTTCAATTTTGCTTTGTCACTTCCTCAGATATTGTTTGCAAAGTAGTTCATTGTCAAACATATAAAACATGGGTTCTTGCCTCTGTAAATCACAGTGTTGTGATGGCTGAACGCATAATTTTACATTACTGTAGAAATAACAAGTGCGAGCTCTTTTGTTAAGTCAAGTACTTAAAATGCACGTGCAGCTTCATTTTATTTTGTGTAAATCTCATTTCTCTTCAGGGAAATTATCCGAAGAAAAGCTGTTCAAGCTTTGTATAAATTCTATCTCATTGCTCCTAACCAAGTTCAGCATATTCATGATAAATTCCGGAAAGCCTTATGTGACAGGGATGCTGGTGTCATGGCTGCTTCTTTGCATATTTATCTTCAAATGATTAAGGTAAGTAAAGAATTAGAAGCACAATTTAACTTGGGAGCTATTTTTATATAAATATACATGTAATTTTCAGTACACAGTGTACCTTACAGAAGTTTTGCAGAAAAAAGCTTATAATCATTAGAAAAGTCGATTTTTGTGATCATGGATGTGTGTTATGTCTGTGCTAGGTCTCCGTTTGGCTTGACAGATCCAATTCTTGCACGATCTGAATGTTCATCATTGGCATCCTTAGCTAGAAGATCTAACTTCTACTCTGTGTTAAAGGGGTTGTGGAAATTTGCTTGTAAATCTTTCTTTACTGTTGCCTTCAAGTTACATTCACTCCCATTGCAGATGTGTGAGAAAATAGCGTTGATTTCAAGTGAAGAGCTTACAGGTGTTGAGGGATGAGAGTAGAAGTTTTATTTTAAAGAGATGAAACCACTGGTGTAGGTATTTTGATTTTACGCAAATTGTGGATTATTTTTACTTTTGAGGTGTGGCTTGAAAATATTTGAATGCTATTTCTTTTTCATTATGTAGGAAAACTCATCTGGGTACAAGGACTTGACTGGGAGTTTTGTAGCCATCCTGAAGCAGGTAGTGGGAGGAAAGCTCCCTATTGACTTCAATTATCACAGTGTGCCAGCACCATGGTTACAAATTCAGCTTTTAAGAATATTGAGGCTATTAGGAAAAGATGATCCAAGGTAACCAGATCTTTCTCTCTAATTACTACTTTGAAGGTACAAAGAGTACAGTCATGACCTTGCTGTTTTTTGGTTGGGTTGGTTTGGTTTGTTTTTTTTATAAGTGAATTTCATGGTCAGTGTACATATCTGTTATTAACCAACGCAGTGAGTAAGTACTTTTTAAACTACAAAATCAGTTTCTTAGCTTCTGGATTGAATAAAAAATTGCTTATTGTGGGATATGCTTGAAATACATTTTTTGCTGGGACTTCTGTTACTGGGTTACCAAACAACTGTGTGAAAATCCAGAGGAAAGATACTTTAAAAAGTGGTGTTGCTTTGTGAGAACCTAGTTATCTGTGGGCCTTTCCCTCTTGATGTTTTCTTTTTATACAAGCAGTGAGGGAAGTGCTTGCAGTCTGGTGATGTAGTAAATATTTCTTTGGAAAGCTGCAAATGTCTTGTTAGATGCCATTTATAAACATGTTATGGAGCTCTTCCATGTTAAAGCAAACCTGGGGACATGAATAATTTGTGTTACAGATTTCAGTACTAGGATTTGAGCTGATTGGTGAAATAAGACTACATGTTTGTTAGTGCAGCAAATAATTTCTTTTTTCTTGTTGAACAGGACAAGTGAATTGATGTATGAAGTCCTAGATGAATCTTTAAGAAGAGCAGAGATAAATCATAACATTACATATGGTAGGTGAGGTTCTTTTACGTAATTACTGGTATTTGTAAAGATTGGAAATGTGAGTAGTTGATTGTGCTGAAATACTTACAGTTTGAAAATACATTTTTATTCAACAACTGAATTCTTAAGTTCTAAATTGTAAAGCAAGTGATATATTGCTGTACAGTGCAGCTTTTGATTGTTGGAGTATTTTTAATGCATTATTGAAAAATGTTTTGACTCACATCCTTTATAGTTGCCTGTTGGCTTTCTACAGACTGTCACAGTCCCTTGAGCAACTATAGGAGATTTTGAGGTTGGAAGAACTTTAAAGACAAAGTTTTATGCACAGTGGCAAAAGCTAATAAGAAATACATATATGCTAAAGGAGATAGTCTTTCATCCCATTATTACTTAACGTCAGTAGGTACTCTGCAGTTAGATTCATGGGGGTGGGATGGTACTGTAAGTCCTTGATACAATCAGTGAGTTTGCTTGTTCAAAAGTTTTGCATTATAGAAGTATTTAATGCACGTTAATTATGTGTCTCTCCCCCCCCCCTCCCCACAGCTATATTATTTGAATGTGTCCAAACAATTTATACAATTTATCCCAATTCTGAACTACTTGAAAAGGCTGCCAAGTGCATTGGAAAGTTTGTTTTGTCACCCAAGATTAATTTGAAATATTTAGGTAAGGATACCTGATTTCATTAAGATGTTATTAATTTGGTCATAGCAGCATATGTTCTCTTGTATCACTTCCAGTCATTTGTATTCTAGGTTTAAAGGCTCTGACCTATGTTATCCAGCAGGATCCTAATCTTGCACTTCAGCACCAAATGACGATAATTGAATGTCTGGACCATCCAGATCCCATAGTTAAAAGGGAGGTCAGTGAATTTTTAAACATCAAAATTCAGTTAATTTTTAAGATGAGCGAAAGGTTTTCTAAAAGGAGTTGTGTAAAAGGCATGTTATGTCTCTGTTATTGTGAAAGCAGTTACGAACAATGTGACAAGCTGTGTAGATAAGCCCTGTATTTCATTTAAGACTTGCCAAATAAAGGCAGTTGCTCAATTTGGCATTGCACTACAGTGTTTCTGTTTGCCTGCTTCCTTTTTTGTCATCAGAGCAAATTAAATATTTTCTTTTGCTTTCTCTTTCAGACTCTAGAACTTCTCTACAGAATTACAAATGGACAGAACGTAATTGTCATAGTTCAGAAGATGCTTGACTACTTAAAAGAAAGCAAAGAAGAATATGCTATCATCAACTTAGTTGGCAAAATAGCAGAACTAGCTGAGAAATATCCTTTTATTTTTCTGAAGTAGCTGAGAAATATCCTTTTATTTTTCTGAATCTTTGGAGTCAGAGCTCAAGCAAATGTAGCATTTATACCTTTCAAGGCACCTTTCATAATCCCTTGAAGCAGGAAGTGTTACCGCTATGCTTTTCTTTCAAACGCAAATAAAAATACACAAAAGAAAATACATACACAAATGACTGCAGTATCTCTTGTATTTCATTGAGAAAGTAATAGCACTTAAAAGATTTCATTTTGGCTGTGGAGTTTAGCATAAGAACTTTGTGTTTTTAAATTAAACCTTTGAAGTTTTACACCATTGCATGGAAAGGATGCTTCAGTGCTACACTGAGTGGTGTTCTCTAATTATGTTCTTATCAGAACTCTTTGTGGGTGTATAGATTTTAAGAATATACACTTTCATAGAAATAAAGATTCTTTAACTATGCCGAAATAGGGATTTGATGTATGGTGGACATTGTTGTAAGACTTGACATTGCCTGATTTTCTGTTTGTATTCTTGTCTGATAATTTGAGTTGTAAGCTCTTTATAATGGAGAGCTACCTTACCATCCTATTTGTACACTGCTTGGCACAGAGTAATGTACAGAAAAAGCTGTGTTGTCATGCAGTATGCAAAAATAATGCTAATGTTTCTGTATTGTTGAAAATTTCCATTCATTAAGTGTGCATTTTCAGGCTTTATTTGAGGAAAGGCAGAAGCTAATGTCCAGAGTTAGCAAAGGCTGATCAAATTGTAAATATACAAAAAAAAAGCAATCTTGCATTCTGTGGAGTACTTGAAAGTGTTTATTGTTTTTCAGCAAATCAGCAGCAAAACACTGATGAACAGCTTGCCTGTCTTGATCAAGTGATATTGGATAAACTCAAAAGATTATTCTGGAAAGCTGGCACCGAACAAGTCTGAACTTAAAATATAGTAGGACTGTTTTCCAAAGCTAAATCCTTGTCTGTTCCTACTGTGACTTCTGCTTAAACTCTTTATTTTTCACTCTAGCATTTATTAATGCACAACTTAAGATGTATTGATTGACAAGCCAGCAAATAGCACATAATGAATAACTGTTAGGTTCATGTGCAGGATTTTTCAACAGGGCAGTTTCCTTAGGAAACACACTAAAAAAATAGAAAAAGTTATGCCGTAGCACTTAATTCCTTAACATCTGGACACGTATGCCCCTAACAATGAGTGGTTCATCCAAACAATGAATGCAGTGTTTTCAGTTGGAGGTGATCTTGTGCATACGGATATCCCAAACAACTTTCTGAGGCTATTGGCTGAAGGTGAGTAATACCATGAATGCTCTGAAAAATTAGATGTGTTTCTTGATCATCTGGCTGCTTTTTCTTGAACTTTGAAATATTTGATGGGATGTGTTATTTGCATTTTAGGCAAATGTGTATTGTTTTCTATGTAGGATTTGATGATGGAAACGAAGATGATAAGCTACGGATGTATGCAGTCAAGTCTTACTTAGCATTACTAGAAGAGGATGATGCACTGTATCCACAGAAATTTCTTCAAGTTATGAGTTGGGTATGGCAGACACATGGTCAAAATTGAATACACAAATGCGAGAAAACTCTCAAAGGTGGTAATGTTTTAAATAGCTGTTTAAAACTCTTTTCTTTTTAGTCATGAATATTCTGTTTTGACTTGAAGTCAAGATAATATGCCAATATCTATTTTTAGTGACCTCTTCTGGTGCCTGAGTCATAGTTTGTGGAAAAAGCTGACTTGCTCCCTTTAAGGCAGGTGACTATTAGAATGGTTTAGCAGCCACATGAATCTGACTGCATGCTGAAAGCCTTTCTGACTTCATCAGAACTAGGCCAGATGTGGTTGTGAAATGCATTTTTAGCTTTGCAGGTGATGGCCAAGTGATGCTAGAGTTGTCTGGTACCTGCATAAGCTTCAGCTTCCACCCAAGGGAGAGGCAGCAGTATGAGCAGATCGTGTTTTGTCATGCCCTAATTGCTATTTTTAGCTTTCTTTTCCATACTGTGATTTGATTTTTAAGAAACTAAAAGTTGGAGTCTGCTGAGGTAAACGCACAAATAATTTTAAACCTTGGGCACTTAAGCCACAAAATGGTAAAGAAATAAATGTAGAACATGTTTAAATAGTAGTTTCTTGCATGTGAGGTGGTTTTTATTGTGTTGGTATTTAGTACCATTTAGTACCTAATTCTGTTTAAAACTGAAAGCACTGCTCTGTGTGATTAACTGCCTGTTTTGTTTGTTCTTTATGAATAGGTGTTGGGGGAATATTCTAGCCTTGTTACAGATGTTGATCCAGAAGTTATTTTGACAAAGCTGCACAGCCTGCTGAAGAAGACTTTTGTTACTTCTGAAACTAAAGTGTGGATAATGGCTACAGTCACCAAGATAGCATCACGTACCTCCTGTTCAAAAGCAGTTGATGAAATAGTCCAAGAATTCAGCAACTCCCTAGATACTTGCATGAGACAATATGCCTTTGAATTGAAGAATCTGTGTGAGGACAAAGCACTGATGAAAAACTTACTTCCATTTGATGCTAGCTGCAGTGACATGGTGGTAAGACAGCTGTAATATGTGCTCTTCATGAACCAGTTTGTAGTTGGGAGGTTGGATATTTTGTTAAGAAAGTGTTTTCAAATGAATGGTATTTGACAGTTCTGAGTGATGCCAGTCTTTAGTCTGCTTACAGTGGGCTTTCAGAAACATGCTTTTTCAGGCATATGTGATGAATCTTAATGTTCTGTACTGAAAGATAAAGAGCCATGGTGTTCAGTTAGTAACCTGGAGTAGCTTTCAACAAAATTATGACTTCATGTGCTGGTTTATCATCTGATTTCTCACCTTTCTTAATTCTCTGTAGGTAGATGCTTCCTTATCTTTTCTGGATGGGTTTGTGGCTGAGGGACTTGGTCGTGGTGCTGCACCATATAAGCCTCATCACCAGAGACAAGAGGAGAAACTTTCTCAGGAAAAAGGTGACGCTTGATTTACTGCATTTATTAAATAGCTGGTAAATTACCTGGTAAGTGTTAATTAACAATCCTAAGTGTATAGTTAGTATTATTTCTTAAAGTAATGTTGCCTTATACATCTCTTGTCTGTAGATTTAGCTAAGTGCAAGTTAGTTTAGTTCCACATCTGTCTGCCTGGTGTATGTAACTGTTCATTTATTGTAGGTTGCTGTTCTGCAGATGAGAATGCTTTACTACAATCTCTGCTGATCTATGGGAATTGAAATTTATGGGGATTATTAAAGTGAAAGCAAAGGGTTCCTAACTTTGCTATACTGAGCGCTTAGTCTTGACTGTGGAATCATAGTTTGCAGCATTAACCATTGGAACTTATTTTATAACACAAAGCTTATGTTTCTTACCTAGTGTAGGTGCAGATAAGACAGCAGTATGTGCTTTTATTTATTTAAAAATACCCCAAGATGTTAACTAAAGGGCTTATTTTTGTTTTGAACTTTTTTTTTCCCCCATAGAAATACTTATTTACTTTATCATAGCCTGCCACGTAAGGGTTTCTTTTTAGACACTGAATAATTCACTTTGAGGTTGGAAAGCTTTTCTAAACCATTTCTCAGCTTTACTGTTGAGGAATTAGAAAAATGAGCCTTGTACATTGCATTATCTCCAATTAAGTTATTGTTTTTAAAAAATTATTTTGACTGTGCAGGTTAATGCATTCAGTAGATAATATTGTCCACTTGCTTGCATCTGTAGCTTGCAGAACTTAACACTTTTCTGAGATACTTATGAGTACTACATCTGCTACCTCCAATTTAAGCCTGCTAGAAAATTGAAAATTGTGGTGGGGAAATGTTGAGCAAGGTCACAGATGTTCAAACTGAATGTTCTGCACTGGTTTTGCATGCACATAAACCCAGTGAGGGATATAACCTGCTGTTTGTCAGATTGAGCCTGTAACACTGCTTCATACTGAGGTGTTAAGAGTGAAATTAGTGGTCTTTCCTGCTGAAGAACACCGGTTTAACGTTCTGGTGTTTACAGTGTTACAGTTTTGCAGGGAAGCCATTGTAGGAACCAGATTATGAATTGCTGTTTTTTCTCAGTAATCACAAGTACTGATCACCATCCTCCACTAGCTCATAAATATTTTAGGAGGTTAGATATAGGTGAAGTGGACTATTCATAAGTATTCTAGAAGTGAAGTCTACTGAGTTTATTGCAATTCTTTGTTTATAGATAACTAAATTTATGGGTTGGTAGAGTTTGAATATCTTTATGTGGATGCTGTTTATCACAAAGCCCCTTGGATCTCTGTTCCTTCTTGCTTCCTTATGGGACAGGACACTTCCTTAGCACTGCCTACTCCTTTATTAGGAGACCTCTCTCATCCAAGATGCCCAACACCTTTGCCCTGCTGCTTCACTTTGCTGGGAAGAAGAAAGTGTAAGGCTGGGGTGGAGATGAGGGAAAGGGACTGTACCCCTTGATAGCAAAGGAGAGTCTGCGCTGTGCTTCGTACGTAACAATGACTGTTTATGTTCTAGTCCAAAACCATTTTTAGAAGCTATTCAAACTACCCTTCGATTTGTAAAGTGTAGCAGAAGTGGCTGGTTCTGAATCCTGATTGCAAGTGTTAGTGAAAACAATTTCTCGCCCAAGGTGTCAAGTATGTTTGCAAAGCAGACAGTGATATATGGACATAATGCTGTGGACTCAATGTTATTTAGAAATTGAAAAGCTCACTTATTTAGATTCAATACAGTACTTCTGTCTACAAATACTGTAAGCATCGGCAGATGTTTTAGTGATATGCTGTAAAGTCACTATTTCTTGTCTAGTTCCAGTATTTAAAATCAAAAATCAAATTAATACATTTTAGAGAAATCCTCTGCCTGTCTAAAAAAACTTACCTGAGAGCAGAAATACCTGTTTTTTATGAGGATAGAGGATCCTGAATGGGAAGCCTGAAAAGTGCAGTTGTACAGAGTATCTCTTTTCAGAAAATGGATTTTCTTTTTACCTTTGTATGCCTCTTGTAATTTTAAGATTCTGTCTGTCTTGCAGCTCTGAATTTTGAACCTTACAGATTGTCATTTACTTCAAGTGTGTCCTCATCTGGCATCACCGGCAGACAGTCCCCTACTGGCTTATCTTTTGGTTCTGATACATCTGTGAATAGTGCTGAGACAGGGCATAAAGAGTGAGTTAATTTGTGTTTGAAATGAAGTACATGTAAGCTTCTGTAAGCTTCTGTTCTTGTCAGTATCATGTGTCTTTGGCTTCTTCATTACATGGAACTAAAAAGAATAGTTAAACTTGGAAACTTCTGTCATGTAAGAAGAAATTCAGATGGCATCTTCTTGGAAATAACTAGGAAAAAAGCTAATGTGATTAGAATGTTTTTCCACTTTCTTCACAAACTAATTAACTAATGGGTAATGCAGTAAAATTGGGACAGGATTACCTCATGATTAAGCATTTTTTCTCTGGCTTCTTTCTTTTTCTTACAGGCTATGCTTACTTTTTATGGGCTTACAATAATGGGCCTTTTAAGGAAACTCATTCAGATAAAAGTGAGGCTAAGACTTGCGGTGTAAGATACTCTTTAAGTTTTAGAACACTGAAGATAAATTCCATATCCACAGTCTTATACAAATGAATAACTTTATTTATACTTTGGTGGTAAATTGGTGTGCAAGAAATCTTGGAATTAAGATTCTTTAATCAGCTTGTGTAAGAAAATATGTGTGAGGGTTTTAGGTGTAGGACTTGCAGCGTTTAGCCTGTGTCTGTTGACCTAACTTCTGCTAGAATTCAGGGTATCTGACAACATGAACACTTTCCATAGGAAAAAAAAATACTTTCCAGGTTTCTCCTAGTTTTCAGTCCCGTATATAAAAGGTTTTTTAAGGAATCAAGAGTAGAGCTATTTAAATACACTTAGAGATTCACAGACCATGTTTTGTGTATTCGCTTCTAAAAAAAATATTTGAATATGTAATAAATGTAATCTGAAACTCTGGAGTTGGCAAACACAGTCTACAAGTGGCTGTAGGGGTATAATACTGTCTTAGTATAGGTCTGTATTTAGGATTATATAGCTAGTCCAGGTTTGCATTTGTGGGTTGTTCTAAAGGTAATGAAGGACGAACATGCAAAAGTGTATATTCTGCTACTTGCTGTGTTTATCAAAGTACCAAAATTGTGAATGGTGTTTGAAGTAGAATGTTGGTATATTTTTATGAATGTGATGTTCGTGTGGTTGATCCTGCTTTTTGTTAACCTTTTTAGGACGGGTACTCTGAAACTTGAGGGAGTACGCAAGCTGTGGGGTAAAGAAGGCTACCTCCCAAAGAAAGCAAGCAAAGAAGGGAAAGAAGAAGAGCCACAAACTGCTTCTTGTAGCACCTTGTCAGCAGGACAGGTGCAGGACCCTCCTGCATTGTGGTCTGATCAAGTTGCCAGCATCTCTGAGGAAGACAAAGAGAAGCAGCAGTTAGCATCAACTTTGTTTATTGGACTAGGATCAAATGCTGGTGTAAGTCTGGTAAGTGGTTCTTTTGAGACTTTCCCAGTTTAAAGTTTAGATATTGCCTTATTTACAGTTACAGATGCAAGTGGAGATCAACTGAATATTTTGGTAAACCAAGGCAAAAAAACCTCTGAGTCACTGAAAAACTATTGAAATTACTTTTGTAATCTGATAATCTGTTAAGAACGTGAAATGGGGTGGATATTGCTTGACAAGCAACTTCTGAGTCAGATCTGATTCAGTGACTAGAACTCCCCTTTTAAAAAGTTGTACTTTGAGTGTTAGTTTTGGTTTTCCTTAACAACTGTTCGTTGACCCAACATTGCGGAGCTTTTTTGACATTCTTTGTCAGTAAGGCTGGAATTTGATGCCCTATGTCAAGACCATTTATTATTTATGTATGGTAATATGCAGAACATTAAAGAAGTCACCATTAGGTAATCTGTTTAAGACTGGCATTATCATATTAGCCAGCTCAAATCTTGGCTGGTTTAACCAGAAAATTACCTCTGCTTGCTTTTTAATAGGAGCTTTTAGTTTATTTCTTAGAAACTTGGATTCAGTCTGCCATTACATGCTAATCCAATACCCTGTAAAAAAAATACAACAAAAGCCCATTACTGAATCCATTAAAATGTTTGGAATCTGTTTGTATATGTCATCTGAATTGATTCCTTAGTCTTTGTTTGTCCTTGCTCGCCCTGTTTCATGCTGTTAACAGTAACACAGCTTGTTGCTGGAAACTTGACCACCCTTTTTTTGGTTTTTAATCTTTTCCCTTTCCAGATGGGGAAAGCGGAAACAGCTACTCAGAAGTTCAAAAGAAGATTGAAGATAAATGAAATTCAACACGGTGAGGAGGCGTCAGACTTCCAGAATAGTGCTGCTTCAGATTTTGGTCCCTTACTTGATACAGGACCTATTAACATGGAAGATTCTGAGGGAAGTTTGCACACAAGGTTAAGGAAAGCCTCCCTCTCTTCTTCAGATATTGTAGAAGATAATTTAGCATTTGAAATGCCTCAGTCCCTCAGAAAATCTGGGCTGGATGAGAGACTTTCAGATAATAGGCTGTCACAGTCGTCTCTGTTTGCTGATAGTAATATTGAAATTTTTCAGCCTTCTCCAAGTGCTCAATGTGAAAGTGCCAGTAAAACACCGTTAATCCCTTCCTTACCAGAAGAGCTAGAAGAGCTCACGCACTCTGAAGTAGTGGAACTCTGTCAGAGTGATGCCTTAGCTCTGTATTTATGTAAGGTGTGGACAGATGACTCTCTGTTGCTCATTGTTTTTGTTTCAAATAAAACCACTGCGGTACTTAATGCTGTGAACTTAGTGTTTGAAGAAGCAGAGCATTTTCAGGTAAGAACCTTTGTTTCCATTACGTTTCATTTTCACTTGGACCTTCTTGCTTTTGCTTGCATTTAAGTGTGCAGTATTTGGTTTAGTGTAATAACCATGCTTTTTTCCCAGTGCATATCCATAAAACCTGTGGTATGGTTATTACACACATCCTAAAGGGTAGTGAAAGAAATCTCAATACTACACTTAGTGCCCTTTGGTATAAAAGTTAGCGTCTCACTTTTTAAATTAACCTTAATACAGCTTGCCTTCATATAACAAATATATATGATTTTGCAGTTCTGAATTCAGTGTCTTCCTGGTCTTAAGACTGCATGCAAACCTAACCAGTCATACTCAGGATGGTATAACCAGGGTTGCCAGAGAAATCATTGTGTAACTTTGTCTGGGTGTGACTGTTAGGCTTGTGCATTTGTTTGTGTCTGTGATAGGCAGACATGATGCAGTTTCTTCCTTCACGTAAAATTTATGTCAGCTTACTTCAAGTTATGTTTGTTTGTTTGCTTTTCCAAAGACATCAGTCATATTGCATTCTTGTTCTTATGCGGTCAGTTGAGAATGGAGAGGAGTCAGTTTATTATTTGACACTGGCTACATCTGGGGTTTAACTGGTTGGTAAAAGCATGTAATAGTCTTGATTGAAACGTCACTTAAATAATTGGAAAGCGGTTTAAGAATTGCCTGTTGGTGTGACTATCCGTGTGTTTTGCTGAAAGAAGCCCAGAATTAGAAGTGGTAGATACTGTTGCAAGTGGTAAGTGGATAAAGAGAATTAAGCAGAATGTTTCTTCTAGAATTAACTTAACCAAGGAATCACTAATTGGTTATGAAGTCTCCTTCATTCCTGTTTCTGGCTTGAATCAAACCTGTCATGGCATTGATAGAAAGTGGGTATCTCTTGTCTAGATTTTGCTTGTAATTCATTTAATATTCCACAAAGATCACTCTCACAGAGAGAATCTGTGTTACTAGTTTGTTTGGAGAGGCCAGGGAATGCTGAGGGATCTTGAAGTTATCCTTGTTATTACTGATGATTTCTCGGCTTCTTGCTTTAGCATATAGCTTGGGGAATCACAGAATCATTAGGGTTGGTAGGGACCTCTGGAGATCATCTGGTTCAGCCCTCCTGTCAAGGCAGGGCCACCCAGAGCAGTTACACAGGAATGTGTCCAAGTGGGTTTTGAATGTCTCCAGAGAGTGAGACTCCAGAACCTCCCTGGGCAGCCTGTAAAGCCTATATGTTGCAATGTTGTATGTTAGTTTATTTAGAGCTCTTGTATATTAGTTTACTTAGGGACTGAACTGTGGAATCTTGGTCATCAGTTCTTGATACTTCTTGAGCAGTCCTTCAGGGGGCAGAGGGGAAGCCAACTGGCAGAAAGAGATTGGTTTCTCCAGTGTTTTAATTCTCATAGAACTTTTGTAGATGTTAATGATTGATTTTATGCTTAATGAGTACTGAGAAATGGTAGCTCTGTTCACTTGCCAAACAGTCTGAGACAAATTAATTGAAATAAAAAGCACTTACACAATGTTATGGCTATATCTTAGCCACTTACACAACTTGGCAGCAAGACTTATATTCTATATTCCTTTAAAAAAAACTATAGATTTTGGAGAGTCCCAGCTATCAGTTTCCTGCAATTGAAGCTGAAAGTGTGGAACGTTGCCAGAAATGCGTGTGGATGGACAAAATCTGCACACACGGAGTTCTTTCTGGCTCTGTTACTTACCAGTCGGAGATGAAAACGCGCCTTGACTTTTCAGTCACTTTATCTTTGATGGACTTCATCCGGTAAATAAAATAAACTGCAGTTTTTAAAAATGTGTGTACTCGGGTATTAGGCAAGGGGAGAATGTTTTGGGTCTTGATTATGAAAATAGCCTTCATCTTGAGCAGCTAGTTTTAATCTAATTGAGATGACTGCTACAGATAGTAAATGGTTATTTCTAAACTTAACAAAAAAGGGGCAAAGTTCCAGGAAGAAGTACAAGTCCAGTGAGAACATTGACAGTAGCTGCAGGTTAACATAGTCTTAAAATACAGAATGTGTTTTTGAGGGGCTAACAGAACTGAGTGAACAGAAGGGCATGCTGTTTTAACTGTCATAATATAAACGTCAAACTGAAATAAGTGATTTTGAATAGAGATACATTATATAAAAAGGCTGACAACTTTTGCAGGGGAAGAAGAAAGCTCATTATTTCCATTTTTGAACGCTGCATTTATTTTAGGAGTAGAAAAGGCAAGCGTTCTTTTTCCAGTAGACTTCTGTTTTATAGTGAAATCCACCTTGTTTTCCTGCCTCTCACTGAACTTGTTTTGTCTCATTCAGTGGGCCAGTATCTCAAGGCCATTCTCTTTGGTCTTTCATTGACATAGAATAATATGTCTGGTTTGGGTTTTTTTAAGTTTGGAAATCTAAAGCAAGGAATGCTAACTTTAAAAAGTGTTAAGCTGGGAATAGAAGGGGTTTGTTTAAATTAATCTTTATTTGCTTATTGCTTTCTCTGTTGTCCAGTTGCTTCCAGATACTATTTTTTGGGGATACTAAATATATGCTGAATAATGTCTCTTCTTTTGCTATGATAACTTAGTGGTAAGCTTATTTTTAGGCCAATGGAAATGACTACAGAAGACTTTGGGAAGCTGTGGTTGTCCCTTTCCAATGATGTGAAACAGAATATAAAAATGTCCTCACCTCAAGATTCCCTTTCAGCTGCTCTGAATACACTGCAGCAGAAGCTGAAACTCCATATAGTTGATGTTATAGGTGAGTGAAAGTAAGATTGCTTCTAACCTGTAATTTGCCCAAGAAAGCAAGTGCATGGAAGCAGGTATCTAACAGTTTAAGGCAGGGAATGTTTAGGAGCATAGTAAACACAAGAGCGTTGTCCTATGGACTTGATTTGCCTTTCTCAGGGATCTGTGTGAATGTAAAGGTACAAGTGTACAGCAGACACTAAATTTTACAAGGGAGAAAACTGTTGCACTGTGAAAAGTTTTGGACAGGACAGAAAATGGGAATTAAGCTATATGAGAAATCTGAAGCTGGGATTGCATGGGGGAGGCATGATTTTTGGTGACCTTAGACGAGTAGGGGTAAGAGTAGCAAAGAACAGTGGAAGCGGAGTTTGAGAAGAAGATACATTTTCTGTCAACTAGGATATAGCTATTGTTAGTTATTACTTACTTTTTTCTGTGGTCTCTTGTTTTAAGGTAATGAGGGAATACTGGCATGCCAGCTACTTCCATCTGTGCCCTGTCTGCTGCACTGTCGGACTCACTCAGGGATGCTGGCTTTGTGGTTCAGATCACCTTGTTCTGCTCTTCCGGACAGTTTGCTTTATCAATGTCAAAAAGTGATGGAGGAATCTTAATAACAGTAGTGCCTGACCTAATCTATTTGGTGTGTGAAAAGCAAATCAAAGATTTATATAGTTGCACAGATAATTACCAAAGCTAAATTAAGATACTGCTTCTCAGAAGTATTTAAAGCTCTCTTCCAGCTGGCATATGTCATGTGGACGTGGGGGAAGACTGATGACCTAAATTACGCCTGCAAAAACATGCTCAGGACTGTACAGTGACGAACAAGTAATCCATTAAAGTATTGTTACCTGTTTAAGTGAAATGTATATTTCTTAATTTTGTTGTAAATTACTAAAAGTATTTATTTTTATTATGCAGCTTTTATAGATGCCTACAGTTATTCCTCACAGCAAGCTCTTAAATATGATTTTAAAGAAAGCATGTCTTCATTATGAGGTCAGACTTGATCAGTTATGAGGATCATCTGATTTTATTTTGATAATTTTTGTAAAGCTGTTTTTAAGCACTGCCGGCAGCAAGACCCATGTTGGTGGTTGTACAAAGTAACTTATGTAGCAACAAATGCATGGTTTGGAAAACAGTTAAAAGATTTTAGTGAGCAACACAATTCTCATCATCTTTGGTATTTACCACTTAAGTGGTAACAGCTAAGTAAGATGTGATAGGCAGGCGTGTGAAATTGTATGGAAGCATCTCCTCGGTGATGATCTAAGGTCCTTCAGGTTAATTCCTGCCTGCAGTTCTTCCTGCCTTATGCTTCAGTCACATTCCCTTTCCTGTGACAGTCACTAAATATTTGTGTATATCTAAGGATTAAGTTTAATGTGGATCAAGTCTGAGATATCTGAGCTGGAGGTAGATGTCTGTGGACATGTTGACTAGTTGGTAGTTGGCTAGTGGACATATTCATGACTCTCCAGTCAACCCTTTATATTTAATCTGGCCGATCCCGCTGTCCATGAAAATTCACATGGAAGAAATTTTCATTTCTTTTTACTTCTAATTATTTATAGCCTCAGTATGACTCTTTTAAACCTTTGACTTGCACAGAGGTGGCTGTGTTGTATGTGCATGGCCAGGAACTGCAGTAAGGCATAGGGCACCTAAACTAGAGCAGCATATGTGATAAATGTGCCTGTCTAGATTGTCTCCTTCCTGGAATAACTTCACAGTCTTGAAGATCCAGCAGTCTTAATTTATTTAGAAACTAAATGAAAACTATAATATTATTTATGACTGCTCATGTTTGTTATTTAAAAACATCAAAGATTGTACACACAGTTCAGACATGGTATAAATGGATTCTACAGCAGAATTCTTTCTGTGTTTTATAGTAAGAAGGAAATTGTTACATTTCAGTGTTCTCCTCGCCTGATAAGCACTGGTTGTAAGGGAAAATAAAGTATTCTGTTACTTTGCTAATGTTTTGGTAAATGTTCATGAAAACATCGTAAGAATGTTAAATGTGCTGATAGTTTTGGGTTTTGGTGGGTGGGTTGGTTGGTTGGTTTGTCTGTTTTAGTCAAGCCACTTGTGTTATCACAAGTATAATCTAAGCTCCTTTTTTATTGCTGTTTCAGTAATTTCTTACTGAGCAATTAAAAGTGCACTGAACCTGTAAATATACTTAATGTTCTGCATACTTTCATGTTTACTTGGCACTTCAAGACAGTTTATATAAATGAAAACTGATTTATAGTGGAATAATTTTGTGCAAGCTATTTCCCTGCTGGTAAATCAGACTTGTGTTATGCAAGTATATATGTGGCCTATGCATTTAAACCATTTCAGCAATGAGATGTTCAATGTCCTGGTGTTTAAAAAGAACAGCAAAAACCAATAATGCTGTGTATTGTTCATATAATGTTCTTTATAACCTTTTTCACCACATGAATAGTGTATGTTAACCTATCAATATGCGAATTCAAAGTGCTGTATTGTAACATCACGTAAAGGAGTTTGCAGGGCATTGTACCTGTGTCGGGTTTTTTTTAGATTGCCCAGCAAATTTTTTTCTCTATCTAGCATCATCTTTGTGTTTCTTGTAGTTAAATAAAATTCAGTTTCACTAAGAAAGAATTGGCTTGGTGCTTGTTAAATATTCTTTGCTACCACACGTAGCGGTGCTTCTGCATATTAAGAACAAGGTTCCATTTTAATTGTTTCTCTTTGCATCTGAACAGTGTTGAAGAATGTATTTCAGAAGTCTTGAATCCATTGGTGTTTGATGCGTCCTGCAGCCTGTTAGAGGTGTAAGAGTCAAGGAGTACACTTCCGGTCTTTTGAACAGTCTTCTGTATGCCAGCTCATGTTACCCAATACTCTTTTTGTAATGCTGCCAGATTGTAGGATTTGTTTTTAAGCAGAGTTCAGGGTCTCTTGTTATTTATAGTTGACAGCAATAGCATTTATTTTTAAGTCCAATGTTAACATAACACACCATTTGCTATAGTGCTGAGAAGGAGTTGAGATTTTGGGAAGTTTGATGTATTTGCTGAGTTGAAGGTGGTCGTAGCCCTCATCTAAACTATGAGGCTGGTTTTTATGGCATGGCTGTTGGTAATAAGAGTGTATGGGCAAGGCAATTCTGGCTGAAGTGGGGAGCTTAGGCCCCAAAGAACCTCAGCAGTTCAGTGCTGGGAATCCCTCTGATTCGTAATCCATTTGTCTCTAAAATGAGATATAGCTGCATAAGTAATTGCACAAAGGAGTATTCTTTAATCTAGTTCTGTATTGAAAATCCTTCAGCAAGTATCTTCACTGTCTGTGGTGTTCCCATTTATTTTTTTTTTTGGAACTTACCAGGTCTTGGGGGTCTAACCTATTTTCAGTGAAAGGGAGATAAGGTGCATAGAAATAGGCTAGAAGGAAGTGAGCATCTAATTTGGTTAGCACAAAGAAATTCACTTTCGAGAGGCAACCAGAGGCCAGTCAGTATATACTGACCTTTCTGAACTGGCAGGTTAATAGAGTTTTGGACCAAACCCCTCGGTACCAGGAGATGGCACTGTTTACTGCTCTCTGCCATTGGCAGCTTGGAGTGCTGCACATCTTGGAGTCAACAGGTAAGTGATTGTACTGGATCCATATTTCAAGTGTTTTGTCAGGCTGTCCCCACTTAAACCAAGCATTTTCAGGTATTTCTAGTGATGAGGTAAGAAAATCGGTGGAAGTGCAATGTGGCAGTATGATGCTGTACCTTTGCCTAAACATAGGTCAGATCTGCTGTTGTGTTATATTACTTTCTGCTAGGTATTCCAAATCCCTCCTCATCCTTTAAGGACCCAAGAGAATAAATTTGTGTTATGCATGGCACTATCTTGAGGTTCTAATGTACTTGCAAGTAGGTCATGAATGACATTATCTGATAGCTTCTAAATATTGGGAAGGTACTTGTCTCTTATAAAGTCCCACTAGTAGTTTTTCAGCATAAAAAGCTGTAACATCTTTTCTGTGAGACTGTACATTGTCTCTGGCATTGAAGGATGTGAAGACAGAAGCAGATGTGCTTAAATAGTCCAGTTAAGACTTGCTTTTGCATTTCTGCTGTTGTGATAAGACTTAATTCTGCTTTACCTCTTGGTTCTCTTCAGGGTCAGCTATTTATACACGTTTCTGTGGGAATGTTTCTCCAACACAAATAAGATTACATGTGCAGTGCAGTTTTCTGTTCTGTGGTACATGTACAATCTCATTAGGATGCCAGAAGTGGTCACTCCCTTGAGAGTTTCCTCTTCATTAATTAAGTTGGCAGTGATGACGCAAAGAATATTGTGTCTTGCCATGATATGATTCATAAAATTAATCTGGCAGCGATGTTTTAGCGGCAGTGTGGCTCAAAACACCGTTTAAGAAGATTGCTTTAAACTTTTATTTTAAGGTAGTTGGCAGCTTTCTCTTTGTGCCAATTTTTAATTGCTTCCAGTATAATTGCCATGTGAGTTGTTTGCAAATCCTGAGCTCTTTCAGCCAAAACACTTTGCCTTTTTTGGGAGTAAGGATAGAAGAATATACGCTTGCCGTTGTTAAAGTATTCTAGTAGGTTCTAGCATCTCTGTGTTTAGGGCAGGGATCTGAAATCTTTCAGGGATGTGTCTTCTGCCTAACTTAAATCACATTAGCTAAACTGAGCTACATACGTCATGGAAAACTTGTAGGAAGGGGCTTGGTAGCATTTTCCATCTGCTCTGGCCCTGACACAGGCTGCTGGTGCATTTCCTAGGCTGAACCCTGGTGACTGAACTGCGCTGCTAAAAGCATTGAGTCAATGTCATTTGTTAGCTCAAGTGCTTGAGAACTTTGGCAAACAGCATTCATTTGCTGCTGATGCATGTTTGTCTTGCATCTGTGTGATAGCACAGAAATGCGGCTTTCCAGTTTTCTTTTAAACCCTTAAAACTACCCATCTACCGAACTCCTACCTTCACAAAAATCTGGTCATCAAAGAGCATGCAGGTTGCAGAAGGTGACAACTGAGTTTACCCAAATTCCCTTCTCTTATTGCTTAATTTCAGTTTACATTGGATGATAGAATAAATAAATCAGAAGGAATCAAAAACGGCAGTAATCACGCATTTTTAATCCACAAATATGATAATACATCATATACTTAGGGTGACCTGAACATTGCCCATATTTTAGCAATGTTATTACATACCAAGCTACAAATACAAAAGTAAACAATGGAGATACAGGATATGCAAGTATGAGAAATACTTGAAAACATCTCTTTCCTTAAGGCTACTCAGATTTATAAATAAAACACAGATGTTCAGCTGGTGTGTCTAAAATACCAGAATCTGAATATTGATACTTGCAACACACAAACAAAGTCACAGAGATCCCTTTTCTTTGGACATCTTGAATGTTAAATAATCCTTTCTTCTGGCTTTAAAAAACAAAAGATCTTAAATTTGTTTGCCACAAGTGAAACGAGCACACAAAATCTGAAATGGGCACTGAGACAGGAGTGTTGGATCCAATAAATACTGTTCAAAAGCATCGACTGACAGGTACATGCTTGGAGAAAACGTAGCTAATGGTGCATGTACGTATGGCTCTGCAAATGACTGAGCTTGCAACTCCAGATGTTGGTGTTTTGTCACCGTGCTGTGTTGCAAAGGAGTCGTCCACCTTCATTGACACTAATTTTAGTTTTTATGGTTAAAGGAAAAATGAGGGGAAAATTTACATCGCTACAAGCTGCTCTGCTAATATCTTGTGCTGCCATTTTTACTGTGCTCCAAATGATTTCTCCTGGGAACAGATAAAAATCCATGTTGCACAATCCAAGTGAATATGATCTGGGTATGTGTATTCTCTGTATAAAGGTGTGATAGTCAGAACTGTTGTTGTAAGAGATAAAATACAGTTATGGTGAGGAAAGACAGAAGAAGAATAAATGGCAGTAGATGGAAGTGAGGCTGGAGGATAACATGTAGAGGGCAAGGATAGATTTCTGAACACACTTCCTTTAGCGTCAGCACCTTACCAGCTCCAGGATCCTATAAGTGCTATGCTTGTCTATCTGCTCTACTCCCGTTCTCCCCTAATCCTAACAAAACTGGACAGAAACAAATATTTCTTTGCAAAATGTTTCCAGATTGAAGACATTGGACTATTTCATTAAAAAAAAAGGGAAAAAAACAAGTCACTGACAACATTCTGAAGAAAAGAAATCGTTCATGAAGCTCCATGGAGTGGCTAAGACTGTTCTCTTCAGGCTCCTGCAGAGGTACAACCCTCGGATGGCACTGCAAGCATGAGTGGGGCTTCCTTTATCACACCTAGTTTACTGTAGGCACAAATTAATGTCGTGGACGTGTTAAACTGAGCGTTTTATCTAGGTTGAATGTTTTGAGGATAGGGAATGTAAACGTCGCTCCATTGGTGTCACTCCACTGGTGTCACTCCACTGGTGTCACTCCACTGGTGTCTTTGTCGCGTTCCTCTTCACAAGTGCAATTTCAAAATCCTTGCAAAGAATGTTTTGTTCTGTCAGCCAAAACAGTAAGAGCACAAAGAGCAGCACAACCTTTGGCCTAAACTTGCCTGATGTTACCAGATACACAAGCCCTGAGAGGGGGGAAACTGCTGTACTGCTTTATCTAGTTTTCGGATTGCCTCTGAGCTCGAACTGTTGAGCTGCTTTTCCAATTTAAAATGAAACCTTCCTCCTGTTAGCAGGTATGAACCAAAACTCTCTAATGAAAACATGGCTTCATCGAGCAATTCTTTAAATTTTCTCCCACTTCTACTCAGTTTGTATTATTTGTTGTTCTCCTATCAGACTTCTTAAATACCATGCAAAATCAGAGATGGCTTCTCATATTGATTCCTGATCCTTTTGAAAGGAGTGAGTTTAATCCATTACAGCCCTACTTTCTGTCCAAGCTTTTTCATGGAGATAAAAACATATGCACCAAGGGCCTGGGGGTAAATTCCATGCGTTGCTCTTTAGCCTTCACCTGTGTAGTTTTACATAGCCATGCACTGGAGTTTACTTTCTTTTCCCATGTTCAGCCTTGTACACAAAGGTAGTAAGATCATGGTGTGTAGCAATCTCTTTCTCAACAATATCAGCAGCCTTGTTCGCTCTGCTTCTTGGAAAAGACCAAGTTATTGGAACAAAACATTAAAATTGATAACTTTCTGATTGAAGTTCATCATGAGCCTGGTGAGCACTTTCTGGCCCTTGTTGGAGACTGTACTAAGAGGCCTGTGGGAAGGAAGCTCGCTTGCTCACGGTGGCTCATGAAGGGTGGCCAGTTCTAGAGAGAAGTTTTTGGTTGGCTTCTTGGTTTGGAGCGTAGTTTCAAAGGATCTTCTCATCAAGTAGTTTGTTGATGCCATCACAGATCTTTTTGAGGTACGGCCGACAATCCCCATCAAGACTGTACAGGGCAGTTAGAAACTCCACATCTGCAAAGTGGTTGAAGACGTGGTTGATGCGCCCGTGGGATCTTGGTGTCAGGTGTCGATCTACCAGTTCATGCACAAGGTCTTTACATTCATTCAGAAGTTCTGCAAGAACATTTCTGTCAAAAGTGTACTCTACCTCATAGAAACTGACAATTGTCATCGCAGTTTGGTTCAGCTTCTTCCTGAACTTGTCTACGATTTCCAGCTCTTCTTGGTTGAACTGATTATTTCGATACAGGATCCCAATTTTTATTGCCACTTTAATCAGGTCTTTCATAATTTTATGGGCTTCCTTTTTGTTTCTCGTATGTTCCTTTGTTACTTTGTACAGCTCATCAAAGATTTCACTGCTTGTGTCATCGATGAGCATGTTAGCCATGGTTTTGGTTGCCATTTTACTCAGGATCTTTTTCTGGGCTTGCAGTGCGAGATTCTTGGAACTGAAATAATCAGGACCTGTTTCAGAATAGGAGAGGAGAAAGGTTAATTTTATTTGGTGAATAATTTTCACAAGCACTTAAGAAATTAGTATCTATGTGCTTAACTGAAACGTTATGTGTAACACTGATCATTACATATAGTCATCGCTGCAGTAACAGAACGCTTCCAGCACTATTTCCAGGTATCCTTGGGGTCTCGGACACCCATGTTTCAGGTTTTGCTGTCACTGAGGTTTTTCGCTTACAGTTTAAGAACAGAATATTCTGGCAGGGGATATCTTGTGCTGGGTCTTTGCTAGGCTTTTAATTTTGAAGTTCAATATTAAAGCTTTCTTGGCAGAGAGATCCCTTGAGATGCTGCGGTCAAAATAATACATGAGCTATTGGAGACAAGCAAAATGAGATAGTGACAAATAAATACATGCCCCTGAAAGAGTTATACTTTTGTCATTGGGAGGCACTGTTGTTCCACCGTTAGACTAAGCAGCATCTCAGCTAAGGACTAGCAAGACAGATTCAATTCATCAGCGTGGATTTGGCACATGGTTTAGTGATGGACTTGATAATCTTACAGGTCTTTTCTAACCTCACCGATTCTACGATTTATTTTGCTTTAATCACTAGTAGCGATGCCTTTCCTGATTGTTACAGGTTTGCAAAGTTACAGGATGTGATTTTTGTGACGTGTTGGTACCTCAGCGCATGCAGTCCCACCACATGAAAGCACCCGAGTATTTGCTCTACATTTATCAAATAAATATCTTGGATTTTTTATCTTTTACTCATCTGTGCAAGTTTCACTCAGCACCTGAGTGAGCATGTGGCTACTCCTGCTGGACTGTATCTAATGAGCTTCTATAATTATTGCTAGAGGTTAATTCGACCTTCCTCTGGTTTTCACATGAATGTTGGTTTTTAACTGACCCTGTATGGAGAAAGTAGATGAAACAGAAAGCTTTTGTATGAAATAATCATCCAGTTTAATACTAGGGTACTGAAGTCTCTGTTGGATCAAAGGGCATTTTGTCGCTGTAGCCAAATGCTGGTGAGTATGTACTTGGGCTTACAGCTGATGAGGTGGGTGCTGAGTGCCAGCAGAGAGGCCTCTTTGGTACCAGATACCTTCCTCGCCTTTCCCTCACACCTCCTCTCAGTGTTTGCTCATGCAGAGGTGATGCCTGTCTCTACCTGCCAGCTGCAGACCTCACTCTGCTCACCGGGAGACCAGGGCCTTGGCTGGTGCAAGAGGAATGGAGGTAACCGATGGAGGTAACCACCAACAGGTTATGGATAACAGTGACAATCACAGTTTCCCATGCTGATTTGATTTTGGAGGCTGGGTGGGTTGAAGCTGGTTGGGTGAGCTCTGGGGCCCCTTTCCAGCCTTCAGCATGGGATTGCTGTCAGCCCGGTGCGCAGCTGTCGCCTGTCACATCTGTCATGGCTCAGTCTGCTCTGCAGCCTCGCTCAAGCTGCCACGGGTTCACCCTCTCCTTCCTCCCCATGCTCCCTACATCCTCTCATAAGGATAAAGGGGCGCTGGGTGCCTGTGCTCACTTTGAATAAGTAACCCTCTGAATTTCAAGTCTTCTGTTTAAATCCTGTTTTTCGAGTTAGCTGGAATATTAAAGTCATCTTTCTTTGTGTGCTACAGCTGTACTACTGCGCAGCATGAAAGAGTAACATTTAATTGCAAATGAACCACCACCTGGAAAAAATAATTCAATGTGCTTAAAAGAATTGTCTGTCATTTGGAGAGAAAATTGTGGGGCTGAGCTGCCGACGAGGAAATGGAAAAAACTGTGATTTAATCTAGAAACGATAAAACCAGGATGAAAGCATTCTTTCACTTAGCAGTACGTGGGTATATAAATAGTATCAGTGATGAATAATTATATGCATTTGATACAGTAAAATGGAAGATTAATATTAGCATCTGCTCCTGTAGTGTTTGCTATTAATCAAGTGTATGCAGTTGTTCAGTATCTGTTTTGATCAAAACCTGCAAATAACTGCAGTTAGAATATTGAGTTTTCTAATGTTCATGACACTTGTGTGTCACTGCCACCAGGTCACAGACCTGATGGCTCCTGCTGTGCCTGGCTCCGCTGCAGGGAGAGTTCTGCCGAGCCATGGCAATTCTGCAGCTGGAGCCAAAGCAGTGGTTGCGGAGCACAGAAAGCTCTGGCTGGCAAAGCACCACGTCCCCTCTTGCATCTCTGGTGTGCCAGCACATCTGTGTGGGAGCCAGGACCAGCACAACCACCAGCACGTTCTCACACACACAGGCATGCAGCTGCCCTCCCATCTATGTGCTTTCTGAGAGACATTTGATGCTATATGAGCACATCAAAGCTTCTAGTAAACTTAGCAGAAGTGAGGTTTGTTTGGCCCCAAATAAGTAGTTCTGAGGTATGTTCCTGTATTCAAAGTCTTGGCTGTCATCCATGAAACTGAACAGAGCATGATCCTTGAAAGGTGGGTTTCTTCCCCCATGACACCCCTGGGTTTGGTACCTTAAATGACAGTAACACAGTTCCCAGTGAAAGGTGCACAAGCTATGAAATGGGCAGCGCAGCTAGAGAGCATCAGGAGGAGTTTAACTGAATGTTAAGGCTGGAGCATTTTTCCATGGCAAATCCCAAGAGTGGTATCTGCTATTTAACATCATGAGGCTCAGCTCCTTCTCACCTTTCTAGAAGTGAAATAAAATACTCTGTTACTTCATTGGCGCTGCTAAGCATTTTTCTAGAAGCTGTATTCCCCGTCCCTCTATCCTTTCCTTTACCAGGCCTTAATGCTATATCCATCCCCTCCTCTCGTATCCTCTTGCTCTCCTCTGCTCAAACCAGGACCTGTTTCCTGGCTCCTATCCTTCCTGTGGCCCCCTTCACCACTCTGTGCTCTTTTCTCTCCAGCCTGTCTCACCATGGCAGCTCTACAGCTCAGCTGTGCCAGGCATGGGTACTCAGAGCCCTCAGAAACCAGGTAGATCCAACTACTTTGTGCACTCCTTTCCCCTGCCTCCTTCCATGATTTGTGCTGCTCTAGGGTATAATCTGTGATAGCTGGTAATTAGTTTCACCACCACGACTGCCATGCACTTCTCCCAGTCGACTGTCCCAAGAGAACAAGGTGCCAATGGAGAAGGGCAGTGCTTGGTGGGGACACAGCCCCTGTAGCACAGGATGGTGCTGTATGTTAATCCATGGATGTATGTATGGATGGTGCTGTATGTTAATCCATGGATGTATGTATGGATGGTGCTGTATGTTAATCCATGGATGTATGGATGCATGGTGCTGTATGTTAATCCATGGATGTATGGATGCATGGTGCTGTATGTTAATCCATGGATGTATGTATGGATGGTGCTGTATGTTAATCCATGGATGTATGGATGCATGGTGCTGTATGTTAATCCATGGATGTATGGATGGATGGTGCTGTATGTTAATCCATGGATGTATGTATGGATGGTGCTGTATGTTAATCCATGGATGTATGTATGGATGGTGCTGTATGTTAATCCATGGATGTATGGATGCATGGTGCTGTATGTTAATCCATGGATGTATGTATGGATGGTGCTGTATGTTAATCCATGGATGTATGTATGTATGGTGCTGTATGTTAATCCATGGATGTATGTATGGATGGTGCTGTATGTTAATCCATGGATGTATGTATGGATGGTGCTGTATGTTAATCCATGGATGTATGTATGTATGGTGCTGTATGTTAATCCATGGATGTATGTATGGATGGTGCTGTATGTTAATCCATGGATGTATGTATGGATGGTGCTGTATGTTAATCCAGAGCCTGCAGCCTGCTGCCACAGTGCCTCCGCCACATCAAGAAACCGCTGAAAGCTCCGGGAGGAGGAGCACTGGTGCATCCCAGCTGCATGAGCAAGCGGCCAACCTGGACTCTGGGATCAGTGCTCCGCAGAGCCTCAGCCCCCGGTCTCCAGCTGCCCGAGTGCCTGCTGGTGGGGTCAGGCGATGTGCATGCAGTGAGGAGGAGGTAGATCGCAGCCATCAGCCCCCTTGGGCAGCCCAGACAATGGCGTAGGGGCTGTTTGCAAAGGGCTGTGCTCAGCTTTGCTTGTATTCGGGGCATGCACAGCTTTACAACAGGGTATGCTGGAAGGCGTGAGAGGGACTGTTTGGATCCCTGCCCCCAAAATCACGTCGTGTTCAGACACCACGGTGACGCTTTGCCTTTCCAAGATCACAAGTAGCTAGCCCCGTGATTAAATCCAGGCTTTCATGGGGACTGCAGGTTTACTGTGGCACTTTTCTTACTGCAGCACGTTGCTCATTACACAAAAAAACCATCTTTGCCTCCTACATACAGCAATTCTATTTTCTGCTTGCTTTCATACAGCAAAACAAATCAGCAACAACATTATAGATGCCATTAGCTTCCAGGAACATTACACCAAAGCTAAAAATGAGAAACCAACCTCTGAGTGTACTGCTTTGCTGGGTAATGATTAGCTTCCATTATAGAAAGTCTGACATCTTGTTACTGAAGTAAGGACCAGTTCTGCCTTCAGATCTCTTCTTTCCCTCTCTGTCATCCGGAGAGTTGTGTATGATAAAAGCTAATAAAAAAGGCCCCCATGATGGGATTGGTCCCACAGCAATCTTCCATCTTCCAGAAAGTGCAGCTCTTCAGACCTGTATTTCCACAGCTGTGGTGCCTGAAGAGGGAATGGCACAGACCCAGCTTCATGAGGGACCAAAGGGAGAGGCTCCCCGTGCTTGGGCAGTCCTGTGGTCAGGATGCTACACCGCTCCCCGCCAGTGACAGCCCCGCTTCTGGCACACGGTGCTGAGCATGACAAAGATGTCTCTCATCCACTAAACTTAATAACAGGATTGCTTAATAACAGAGTTGCCTAATAACAGAAGTGTGGAAAAAGTTTGGCAACTCTGGAGGGTGGATGTAGAAGTTTTGTATTTTAAAAGTTTTTGAGACAAAAATGCAAGGGCATCTGTAATATTC